CGTGGCCACACTGTTTACTTGAAGCTGCGCCGCACGCTGCTGCCAATACTCCTTGCGAAATGCGTCGAAGCTGCCACGGTCGATGGTAGAGGGCTGCCCGGGCATGTGAAGAACGCCATACCCAGGGTAACTATCAGACAGACGATGCATGCTTCGTGTGATCTCGACCAGAGAACCACCATCAGTGTGGCATCGTTGGTTGATGTGGTGCAGTTCGACGGGATAACCATCCTTCCCAATCGGTGACTGGCCATTTCGCATCCGTTCGATTTGTGTTTCAAGAGGCACCCGATTGTGCCACACCAAGTCGATGTTCTGGAAAACTCTCGTAGACGAGCTGTTCCCCTTGTTGGTGTGGAATGCACGCCATGCAGAATACGGCCGATCATGAATCATCGCCGTAGTCACTTGTACAAAAACGTGTATCAATATAGTAACAACACGCTTGAGCACAAATTGCTGTGAACGGTACTGTGTGTTAGGTTAGAATTTGCCGGTTCATGAACTTCATAAATTTGCCGCAAACACATCTTCCTATAGATGCTGTTTTTTCTGCCTGTCTGGCCAGCCTTTTCTGCCCTCCCACACAAACATCACAGAACCACAGCAGAAACAAAAGACCCCGATTGGCAAATACCCGCAGAAACATTGCGAAACATCGGAGAACCAACTGCGGAAACCTCCGCGGAGACCACTCGCAGAGGCACTGCAGCAACAAACTGCAGAGGCAAATACGAGACAAATAATAATTCAAAATATAGTTATCGCATTAGGTTCCTTCCAGGCTAGCACGTTGTGCTTGCTCCCCTAGTATTACTAACTATCGTGTGTTTCACTTCATTTAAACTGATTGGAAATATGTGAAAGATATCCCTGCGGCTTTGGGGCAATTCATCTTGGTCATCATGGTTCTGATGGTCCTTGAGATCATTGAGGTCATGATGGTCCTGGTGGTCATTGTGGTCCTTGTCGAACAAAGGACTTAAGCCCGGAAGCCCCCTCATCTCCGAACACCCCAAAATTATCTTGAACCCAAGAATTTCCTCTTCTAGACCCTGGAATGGTTTGTGCCTTTTAACACTGGATTTGTTTTGCCCCGCATGTTCGCTCTCTAACCCCTCTCTCCCTTCCGCCAGCGAAGAACCAGAAAGCAACCAGAAAGCAACCATAAAGCAACCAGATCGCAACCAGAAAGAAACCACAAAGCAACCCGAAAGCAACCAGGAAGCAACCAGAGAGCAACCAGGAAGCAACAAGGAATCAACCAGGAAGAAAACAAGAAAGTAACCAGAAAGCAACCAGACCGCAACCAGGAAGCAACCAGAAAGCAACAAAACAGCGAGCAGCGACCAACCGGAAAGCAACTGGAAAACAACCAGAACGCAACCAACAAAAAACAGAAGGCAACCAGACGGCAAGCAAAAAGCAACCACAAAGCATCCAGAAAACAACCAGAAAGCAACCAGAACGAAATCAGGAAGCAACCGGAAAGCAACCAGAAAGCAAGCAAAAAAGCAACCAGAAAGCATCCAAAACGCAATCAAAAAGCAACCAAAGCAGACAGAGCAGCCAGGAAGCAACCGTAAACCAACCAAAAGCAATTAGAAGCAACCACTAAAACGCAATAAAAAAAGCAACCAGAAAGCAAACAGAGCAGCCAGGAAGCAACCACAACGCAACCAAAGAGCAACCAGAAAGCGACCAGAAGCCACCAGAAAGCAACCAGAAAGCATCCAAAAAGCAATTAGAAAGCAACCAAGAAGCAGCCAGGGAGGCAGCCAGGAAGCAACCAGAAAGCAACCAAGAAGTAACCATAACGCAGCCAAGAAGCAACCAGGAAACAACCAGAAAGCAACCATAGAGCAGCCAAGAAGCAACCAAGAAGCAACCAGGAAGCAACCGGGAAGCAACCAGAAAGCAACCAGAAAGCAACCAGGAAGCAACCTGAACGCAACCAGAAACCAACCAGAAAACTACCAGAACGCAACCAAGAAGCAACCAGAAAGCAACCAAGAAGCAACTTGACAGCAACCATAAAGCAGACCGGAAGCAACCAGAAAGCAATCGGCAAGCAACCAAGATTCAGCCAAAAAGCAACCAGGAAGCAACGAGGAAGCAACCAAATAGAAGCCAAGAAGCAACCAAGAAGCAACCAGAAAGCAACCTGGATGCAACCAGGAACCAGCCAGGGAGGCAGCCAGGAGGCATCCAGAAAGCGACCAAGCAGCAACCGGAAAGCAGCCAAGAAGCAACCAGGAAACAACCAGAAAGCAATCAGAAAGCAATTAGAAAGCAACGAGGAAGAAACCCAAAAAAACGAAAGCAACCAGAAAGCAACCGTAAAGCAACCCGAAAAGCAACCAAGAAGCAACCAGGGAGGCAGTCAGGAAGCAACGAGAAAGCAATTAGGAAGCAAGCAGAAAACAGCCAGGAAGAAACGAGGAAGCAACCCGAGAGCAACCAGAAAGTAACCAGGAAGCAACCAGGAAGCATACAGAAAGCAACCATGAGTCAACCAGGAAGCAACCAGGAAGCAACCAGAAAAGCAACCAGGAACCAGCCACGGAGGCAGCCAGGAAGCAACCATAAAGCAACCAACAAAACCAGGAAGCAACCAGAAAGCAACCCAGAAAGCAACCAGAAAGCAACCAGAAAGTAACCAGGAGGCAGTCAGGGAATCAGCCAGGAAGCAACCAGAAAGCAACCAGAGAGCAACCAGACATCAACCAGAAAGCAGCCAAGAAGCAACCAGGAAACAACCAGAAAGCAAACAGAAAGCAACCAGGAAGCGGCCTCAGGAAGCAGCCAGGAAGCGACGAGGAAGCGACCAGGAAGCAACCAGAAAGCTACAAAGCCGCCAAGGAATCAGCCAGAATTTGAAAGCAACCAGTAAGCAACCAGACAGCAGCGAAGCAGCAACCGCGAAGCAACCAGACAACAACCTGGCTACCAGAAGGCCTGACAACCGGCGACTCCAGCGTCAGTTGAGGCGCATGCGGTTTAGAATGCGATGCTGCACTGCCTGCGCCCACCGCCGACTTCTAACCAAAAAAACACAACCGGCGGTAGGCCCCCCGCCCCCCCGCCAGCTACTCCCGCAGGGAGAAGACTGGCGCCCCGCGCAGTTTTAGATCCACGCCAACGACGAGTACCCGTCAACCCAAGCTAAGTTGGTCGCTGAGGTTGTCCACAATTTTGCGACAGGTCCTTATCATCTCCGCCAGCTCTGGTCTTTGCACGAGCAAAGCGTGGGGGACCACTGGCCCAACTGGTGAATCACCGCTGGCCAGCACTGCGATCTCGACTTGCCTGAGCGCTTCCCCTGGTAAAGCCGCCAATGCACTAGCTCGGCTTCGGTGCCGTCGATATCGCATTTTGCGCACTTTGCTTGCAGTTGCTGCAGCGACTACTTCTGGAGAGCCCGCTGCAGGTAGTCTAAGGGGACGCGCCTCTCGTTCGAGACGGTGAACTTGCCATCCGGGCTGACGAGGTCCTTGACGCAGCAGCACGAGAAGGTGACGCAAGGGCCACAACCCTGGCGCCGAGCTGCAAGCTGCATGCGGATCGAAGAGATTTCCGCGACGCCCAGGGTGTGGAAGACGCGGTTCCTGGCAGCCCCGGCGCTGTCGATGAGCACAGACAGCTTCGATTCGAATTTGCCACCGCAAACACTGAAACGTTGGTCCTGATGGAGTGCGATGGAGTCGGCACCTGTCAGATAAATGTTGACAACGCAATTGTTGTGCTTCGCGCCGGTCTCGTGGCCGGCATGGTCAGCGTCGTTGCAGCAGCTCTGGCTTGGCCGCAACCTTCTTCCAACAATCTTTTACGCGGCCGAAATTGCAGAAAGGCGGCAATCTTTCTCGTCGCGTTCAGCGATCCTCGCCCAACAAGACACACAGACACAATGTGTACAACGAGTGGGGACGTCGCTGTTCATTGGTCATCCCAGATGTCAAGCTTTTTGCGACACGCAGGGCATTCCTCCGTCCTGTTCAAATGCCAGAGGCGGTCCCTCTCCTGCCTGTTCTGCTCCTGCATACGCGGCGTGATGAGCGGCCTTGCGTCGGCGCTTGGCGTCGCGAAGCTGGGCGCCACGACTTGCTCCATGAAGACGCTGGCATTGAAGTAGCAGACCGCAGCGCCGTCGGAAAGGAGATTGCCGGGCACCTGCGAACACACAGGCACCGGCGGAAATATTGAGTGCATGGCCGTGAGCCAGCCGACGCACATAGCGTTCGCGACCTCTTCGGAGAGAGCCCCATCAGCGCGGAGGCAGAAGACGAAGGACATACGGACCGGGCGACTGGTGCAACGTGTGCGGCAGAGACAAGCGACTCGGAATACTTGAGCAAGCTGTTTAATTCGCTGGCAGATGCGCAACAAGCCAAAGGGAACAACCAGGCAACATGCAAGACAACCATTCGCCTTAACAAAATCAGGGTAAGGAGAACAGAGGAAAGAGGGAGATAAATAACTGTGTCCAGAAAGCATGCGGGCACGACTGGCGCGCGGGGTGGCCAAGGCGCACAGGATCCGCCAAATCACACGCGGCGTACAGAATCATTATTTTTCTTCCGAATGACGTTCTGGAGCACTGTCTGCTCACAAACTGTTCCGGGCAAAACCTCGCAAACATCGGCACGCTAAGGAAGGTGCGCATACGCTTTGATGCAGGAGTCGCTGTCGTTGCAGGCTGATTGCCTTCGGTCTGTTCCCCGCTCCCGGCTGGCGCCATGCCTGCTGAAGGAGACCGAAGGAGACCGAACTGGCAAGTATTTCGTGTGCGCTGTGCTGCTGCTGATAGATGTTTTCCTTCGAACATGGCTAACATGTTATCGACGCTGTCTGCCCACTCAGATGCAACTGCTCGCCAGGTCTGCTCAGCGGGGGTTGTCGCGCGTGTCGCCGCCGGCGCCGCCGAGCCGCGCGCCGATGCCGCGCGGACACCGAAGGCACGATCGGCAGCAGCCCGCCTCGCCCAGCACTGTCTGACAATATTAGTTGCACTCGCATAGGCAGTGCTCGGCGTCTTTTAACGCCCAGCAGCCCAGCTCCTTCTTGACGCGCACGTGCTCCGTCGAGAGCGCAGCCGTGATTTCGCCCCGGCAGCGGCGCAAGCAGGGCTGAGCCATCTCTTGGACCTGTGCTGCGGGCACCTTCGCCGCCTCCTCTGCAAATTCAATGCACAAGCGCTTCAGACCTTGGATGGCCCCATTCCCCAGCGGGCAATAGTCGCCCAGGCCTTTGACACAATCCTCGGGCAGCAGAGGCGAGCCGACAATATCCCAGGCTCGCTGCAGCCCCATGAAGAGGCCGCCGCGGACGGCCACCTCGGCGCGCAAACGCCACGCCTCTTCTTCAAGGCACGAATTGCTTCTCCCGGAGGTATTCTGCGCCGCCCTCCATCCGCCAGGCGGTGCGCTCGTCGTTCCAGCCGAGGCGGCCCGCGGTGTAGGCGTCGGTGCATGCGTGGAAGCCTTCGCTGTGCACCGCCACTGCCGCGCCCACGCAGGCGTCGACATACTCCTCAAACGTTGTGGGGCGGAGTAGCCACGCGCCTCGGACAACGCGTTCTGCGCCAAAAGCGACGCGAGCGACTGCGTTTAGCCACAGTGCGTCGGCGTCTGCTCCTGCCTGCACTTCTCTGACGGCGCGCGTCGCGGCATCTCCGTCGCGCTTCGGCGAGCAGACGAAGTGAATTTGCATGAAGGGGTCCGCGCACTCAATGCCAGCCGCGGCCACCAGACCTGATTCTGCGAAGCGGTTCATGTCCTCAACGGTGAGTTGCCCAGGCGAGCGTATCAAGAAAGCTCGGGGTGCGCATCTGCGAGCACCTGGCCGCGCGCTCGTTTCCGGGCCTCTGCCGCCGCATGTCGGCGCTCCTTCTCTGCTGGAGGCAGCGGTGGCTTCGCCGCGAATTCTCGCCTGGCGCGCTTCACAGGAAGCCGCTTCACCGCATCTCTACCCGTGTGCTCCGCCGCCTTCCTCTTGAGCATTTTTGCGGCGGCCAGGCCTCGTTGACTCCTCGCAAGGAAGCGCTCGTGAAATGCGCCATGGCTCGCAAGGTCCACACAGTAGGGCGGGGGGCTGCGGATTTCCCGAACATGGCTCACACCCAAACCTCGGAACGCAAAGTGACGTGTGCTGCAAAACGCTATTGTGTTTGAGCCAAAGAAAGACGCAATGCTTTTCACCAAGATCGTAAGCGATTCTCGCGCACGAGAACTTGCATGTCGCACACTGCGCTGTCTCGCTCTCCATGCGGCACCATGTTTTCAGACAACGGTTGCGCGCTGCTCAAGCAATCCTAATAAGACTTACGCGGCACAACGATACTCACGAGAGCTTGAAGTAGGCGGCCTGCGTGGCTTTAACATGTGACCGATCGCTGCATGTTTTTTCGTCCAAGGAGGCTGATGGCGGTCACCTGTCTGATTGTGCACCCGCACAGCTCTCTACGCCTGGGCGCATCTGCATCTTGCCCGCTCACGCGCCACTGCTGGCTGGCACCTGCGACCGCCTCGGACTTCGGCTCCGAGGGCGAGTCGCGCGCGAAGCCACGTCGGCTGCGACGGGCGTTGGGGCAACGTCCCTCAGCATCTTGGCGACGGCCCGGGCCAGCGCATACGCAAAATTGCACGGCGCGCCGTTCCCGATCTGCATGTAGGCCGCGTGGATGCCGCCATGGATATCATAGTCGTGGGGAAATGACTGCAGGCGAGCAGGCTTTTTGACTGTCAACCTCCTTACTGACTCTGGCGCGACACAAGCTACCGCCTCCGAGGCTGCCGACGCCCGGGCGCCGCATGCAAGCAAGCTCTCGACCCAGCTCCCCCCCGCGCCGAAAAACTGCTCCTCATCAATGATTGGCGTCGCGTTCCGCACCATGGACGCCATTAGCGCCGGGGAAAGCCTGGTGGGAGCCAGGGCGCGGCCGCTCCCATTGAAGAGCATGCCAGAGTGCGCGCTCTTCTGGAGTACAAAGCTTTTGCAAGCCTCGGTCTTCGCACTGCACGTCGCTGGGTTGGACGGCGAGCCTGCCCTGCCAATGTCCTGGAGGGCCTCTCCGCACGTCTGCCCTCGGCGGCTGAATGCAAACAGCTCGTGTAGATACTGTACGGGCGTCGCGGCGTCGAGAAACCCTACAAAAATCAACTGGTCTCTCGACTGGGAGACGTCGAAATTGCGGGTGTCAAGTACCCTGTACTGGTAGGCATACCCCAGGCCATTCGCGCGTTCAATTAGTTCGTCCAGAATGGGCTTGAAGAGAACCTTGCTGCCCAAGTTCTTCCCGTTCTCCATGAGGAAGCTGCACGGCCGCAGCTTGTCGACCGCATTCATGAAGACATTAACCAGCTCGTTCCTACTGTGGCCCTGCCGCATCTCCCCCTTGCGAGACAAGCCTTGGCAGGGCGGGCCGCTGAAAAGGCAATCTACAGGCCCTGGCAGCTCTCGGCGCAGCTCGTCGAAGTCGACCGTCCGTAGATCCAATCGCCTGGATACCCCCACATCCGCGTTGTGATTGTAGGTGTCGCAGGCGGCTTCGTTTGCATCCGCCGCCCACAGCACCTTGAAGCCCGCCCTCGTGAAGCCGACGTCCATGCCACCAGCCCCTGAAAAAAAAGCGGCACCGCCGTCAGCTGCATTGCTCGCCAGGCTGCGGCGCAAGGAGCTAGGAGCTAGAGCGGCTTGATCTGATACGGCTGCACAGTATCAAAACGCGAAGCAAGTCGAGCTAGCATTCTCTCCTCATATACTGCATTAGGAGATCCCCTCGTCGCCATCGACGTAAGCTGGTGGGTGCGTAGGCGGCCCTGCTTTCGTGCACTTTCACATCTTCTACGCCGGTGCCGACTGCTGCGGCTATCTCATCAAACCAGTCGGCGCCACGAACCTGATCCACTGCGCGGAAGTTGGTCCTGGAAACAAGCATGGCTGAGCGCGGCAAGGTCCACACGCCTGCTTGAACCGATATGTCAACTTAGCGAGCATGTGCATTGAAACTGTTCTTGTGTGCTCAATCGTCTGTGCACGTTCCAAATGAAGACACTTGCATGTTATACTGACGGGGTATCGCCGCTGTAAGTGCGCCCGCAACTTACATTTCCCACGCCCACCGCCTACGACTGGCTGTCAGGATCTAGAAGCCTGCTCTCCGGCACGCGACTGACCAGCGTCTGCGAGTCGCTGTAGCTTGCGGACCTCCTCTTCCAATTTGCGCTTCTCACCCCGCTCCCGCTCAAACAAGTCCCTGGCGGACATATTCATACACTCGAGCACCCTTGATTTAGCCTCCTCGAAGTCCTGCGTGCGCTTCTAGATGGTCGCGTCACTATTTGAATCGGAGAGCGTGCTGAAGCGACGGCGTGCACGCCAATAGCGAGATGTCTCCACCTCTGACTGCACGCCCGAGCGCACTGCCAACTGGACGCTTGCGCGCGTGAGCTGGCCCTCACACGCCTCCACTACTGGCATGATCGTTGCGGTCGCTTGCGCGCAGGGATGCGATAGAAGCTTGAGCCGATGCGCCTTCCATAGAACATCAAGCGCTTGCACGCTTTGCAAGCGTGCGGCGGTTACGCAGTGCCTTGCTGCATTGCTACCTCTCTCTGAGCGCGCGTGAATACTTTTGTGTGGCGTTATAACACAGCAGAGCGATGCGGGAGCTAACGGCCTTCTGTGCGCTGCAAGACTGCAACGGCAGCATCTGGCCTAGTGGCGCGGGCATGGACGCAGCCGCGCTCCCACAGCTCGCACGACGGGAGCCAACTATACGGGCAAGCCCTCATCCGAAGCGTCGGCGGCACCGAGCTGTCCACCAGGAGATGCCGCTCTGCAGCGCCTGCCGGATTTCCTGGGCGGGGCTGGGAGCACCCCCGCAGCAGACTACACTGCCGTCCGCACTGCAAGCTATGAAGCCTGATGCCGAGGAGGTGACATTCACAACATCCCCGGTGAGCTGCTCCCGCACGGCGCTGCTGTCGCGGCCACGATCTTTGTCGCGCCAGGTGACCACGGCGCCATCCTCCTTCATCGCGGCCATGGCCCAATCGTTGGTGACGACGTGGGTGACGCCTTGGGCGAGATGCTCCCGCACGGCACTGCTGTCGCCGCCACGACCTTCGTGGCCCCAGGTGACCACGGCGCCGTTCTCCTGGATCGCAGCCATGGCCCAGCCGTTGGTATAGATCTGAGTGACGCCTTGGGTGAACTGCTCCCGCACGGGGCTGCTGTCGCTGCCTTCACCATCAACCCAGTTGATGCCCCAGGTGACCACGGCACCGTTCTCCTTGATCGCGGCCATGGCAACATTGGTGGTTTCGATCTGAGTGACGCCGTCGGCGAGCTGCTCCCGCACAGCGCTGCCGTAGCCACCATCATCTTCGCCGCCCCAAGTGATCACGGCGCTGTTGTCCCTGGCATGGCCTGCAATGCCCCATGTGAATTCTCCTTGAGCGCGGCTATGGCCTCAAGCGTGGTGACGATGTGGGCGAGTCCCTCGGACAGCTGCCCCCGTACGGCGCTGCTGTCGTCGCCACAATCCTCGCCGCCCCAAGTGATCACGGCGTGCGAGAAACTGTTCACGCTTGCAGAGTGAGCACGTCTCCTGCTGTTTCGCCAGCGTGAATGTGACTGCACTGCGGGCCACGTCTCTCCATTTAGTGTGGAGTGCGTGCCCCACTGGCTCCATTGGCTCCGCCGCTGCCTCTACAATGGGCGCAGTGTGATACGCGCGAGCAGCTGGAGGGACGTGGGCAAGTGTCGCGATGGGCACGTGGGCAAGCATCATCGCCGGCGCGTTGTGCACAAGGTCTTCTGTTCCAAGCACCAGCGCAAGCGGCTCGGTTTTTGGCGTACATTTTGGTGAAGCGGCTCGGGGCCGGCCGGTTCGGTAGCAGAGGGCGGTTCGGCTACAGCAAGAATCATAGGATCACCTTGCTCTTGCAACAACTGGTCTTGCACCTCGTCGCCTGCTTCCGCAGCAGCCGTGGGAACCAACGTGGCGGGAAGCTCAGCTGCGGGAGCGGGCACCTCAGTTTCAGACAGCCCTGACGACGGGTCGGATGAAGTGATGTTGCTGGTCTCCCCGGTGTCTTGTGCGGCTGGTATGAATTTGCGCTTCCTCATAGCCTTCGCGACAGCTTCAGCGGCGGCCGCCTCGATTTTCTGCTCCGCCACGTCAGCGGCATTGCAGATGCACCGCCTTGTTCCCGGGCCACATCGCTAGCAAGCTCTGTCTGCATCTCCCTCTTCATCTCCTCAAAGCGGGCTCGGTTCTTCTCACCACGCGGCCGGAAGGAGTCGCCCTTGGCTTCGAGAGCGTCTCTTGCGCGCTTCTCGAAAGCATTTGGCATCGCCCAGACGTACGGGGAGGCTTGCGAGCTGTAAGACTTGACCCAATCTTTTGATAACTGCAATTCGCGCATGCGCATGCCAATCAACGAAGCCATTCACGATCACGAGCGCGTTCTGTGCGCTTGCGTCCTTGTTGTGACCCTAACTCTTGTGACCCGCTTCTTGTCTCTTGTGATATTGTAGCCCTAGTGCCTGTGACCTTGTGACCCCAACCCATGTGACGCTAGCCCTTGTGACCTCCCGACCAACTTGTGACCATACCCTAGCTCTTGTGACCCTGGCTCTTGCGACTCTAGCTCTTGCGACCCTAGATCCTGTGACCCTAGCTCTTGTGACCCTAGCGTTTTTGACCTTGTGACCCTCTTGAAAACCCTAGCTCTTGCGACCCTTTCCCTTGCTCTTGTGACCCTGTGACCCTAGTCCTTGTGAAATTAATGAACCTCGCTCTTATGACCCTTGCCCTTGTGACCGTGCGACCCTAGCTCTTGTGACCCAAGGTGTTGTGACTTTGTGACCATAGCCCTTGCCAAACCACCCCTTCTCTTCTGACCTTGTGACCCTGGTCCTCGTGACCTTGTGACGCTAGGCCTTGTGGCCTCGTGAACTTTTCAGACCCCATCGTGGCCCTGGGTCTTGTGACTCTGTGACCGTCGTGCGACCCTATCTCTTGCAACCCCTTCCTTTGCTCCTGCGACCCTTTCCTTGGTCTTGTGACCCTAGTCCCTGTGACCTTGTGACCCTAGCTCTGGTGACCCTAGTCGTTGTGACCGTGCGGCCGAAGCCCTTGTGACCTTGCGACCCTAGCTCTTGCGACCCTAGCTTCTGTCACTTTGACCCTAGGTCCTGTGGTCCTCGCCTTTGTTATCTTGTGACCCTCGTCTGACCCTCGTGCTTGTGACCTCCCTTGGTGACCTGAACTTTTGGTCCTTGTGACACTATGGCCCTAGCAATTGTAACCCTAGCTACTGCGACCTTGTAGCCCTAGCAATTGCGACCTTTTCCGGGGCTCTTGTGACCTTGTGGCCCTTGTCCTTGTGAGCTTGATTCGCTAGCTCTTGTGACCCTAGTCATTGTGACCTTGATTCGCTAGCTCTTGTGACCCTAATCGCGCTGCCCTTGGGATTCCTTGTGACCCTAGCTCACGTGACCCTGGCTCTTGTGACCTTGTGACCTTGTAGCCCTCTTGTGACCCCATCTCGCGTGGCCCCATCCGATGCTCTTCTGATCTTGGAACCCGCCTCCTGGTCCTTGTGACCTTGTGGCCCTAGCCCCTGAGACCCTAGCTCTTGTGACCTCGACCCGAGCTCTTGTAAGGGCCTGTAATCCTAGCTCTTGTGACCTTGTGACCTTCCTGTGACCCTCGCTCTTGTGACCCTCAACCTTGGCGACCTCAACTCTTGTGACGCTAGTCCTTGTGACCTCGTGACCCAGCTCTTGTGACTAAAATTTAACTATAGCTCTTCGTACCTTGTGACCCGAGCTCGTCTGGTCCCAGCCTTTGCTTTCATGGCCCTGGATCTTGAACCCTTGTGCCCCTGGCCCTTGTGACCCTGTAACTTTCGCCTTTGTAATCTTAGCCTCGCTCTCGTTACCCTAACCCTTAGTGCCTTGTGACCCTTGCTCCTGCGTTCCCAACCCTTGGTACCTTTTGACACTAGCTGTTATTGGGGACTGGAAGGATGGATTGTAAGGAACGATCCTCCCGGATCTGCTGGAGACCTTGGGCTCAATAGAACGCTATCCCGTAGGCGTGCGTTAGAACTATGGTCTACACCTCCGCGTGATATGTTTACCTGTTGCAAACACAACTATTTGCCTTGAGTCGCTCACAGATTCTTGAGTCGTTCATTGCTCGAGTAGCGAATGTATATGTCTTTCAACTATAACGTTAACAGCCCACTTAGTCAAGGGAGGAATTATATACAGAATGTCCTTGATACGGAGTATACATTGAAACCCCCTCCCCCGAGATTTAAAGCAAACTAGACAATTATTTCTCTCGAACAACTAAACGAAAATTATACAATCTCTTATGCCACCGAATCGTGTTGATACACTGAGATTTTAATTTACCTTATGACGCATGGTGGAGAAATGTTTAGCCTTCCGGCTCGTCTCATGGCATACCCTCCCAAGGGTTGGTCTTGGCTTTGTTTCCGTGACGAGCTGCCATGGCGTTTCGTCCCTTCTCCTTCGCGCCATCCCTGCGTGGAAGAATTCCATCTGCTTCCGCTGGCACTGTCACCCCAGGCCTCGTCCCAGCTGTCCCAGAGTTCATTGTTGTTGCGATCCCAAACATCTGCACGTTGACCTTCCTGTCGACGAGTCGTTTTCGCAACAGTGTACTCCGTCGTGGCGACCTCGTAGTTGTCACCGACTTCCATCTGGCGCTGGTCTTGAAGACCTGGTGGAGGATTCATCTCGACGCTTGCACGTCGTGCGGCAATTCCAACAATGACATTTGCCGATTCCTCGAGAAAGTACCTTAACTGATCAACCATCTCGGTTTCTTCATCATCTTTGCCTTTGTTGATGTCTTCCAGATTGAATTCTTTCTCCCACGCTCCTTTCAGCGCGCCCATAGCTTGGTCGACCTTTTGACATTGTTCGGGACTCGCCTGAACCTTCTTTGGATGACTGTATTTGCATTCACGCCCTTCCAAGCTCTGAGCTTCTTGGCATTCCATTTCTTCTGCTTGCGCTTCTTGAACATCTGCATCCCAGAGAGGAAGCTGAGCATTAGCGGCTTCCGCATCCCAACGAAGAAGTTGAGCATTAGCGGCGGAGCCCTCCCATCGGCTGGGATGGACCTCCCAGGCTGCAAATTGCTGCTTCAGCGGTTTGCCACGTCCACGTGAAAAAGTTCTTGCCTCCCGGCCCCAGCATCCCGGCCCAGCCTCCCAGACCAGGACCGCTCCTGGCTCCGCCCGAGCCTCCCGGCCCAACCTCCCAGCCCATGGCCGCCCCGCCCGGCCGCCCGACCATATTAATGCGTCGTTGGTTGTGTCCGCTCAGCCCCAACCTCCCGGCCCAGCCTCCCAGTCCAAGACCGTGCTTGCCGGCCGCCCCACCACATTAATGCGTCGTTGGTTGCCTCCGCTCTCCCGGCTCGGTCCGCTGGCCCAGCTCCGCCCCAGCCTCCTGGCCCAACCGCCCAGCCCAGGACCGTCCCAGCCGGCCGGCCCACCACATTAATGCGTCGTTGGTTGCGTCCGCTCTCCGGACACACGAACGCACGCAAGCACGCATGCTCGCACATCATACCTGTTCCTGAGATATGGCTACCGTTCTCAACTCTTCTATGCATGATCCTGGGCACACGTGCCACTTGCTTAAACGTGCGAGGGCGTCCACGCTGCAATTCGCGTACGCATCTTTTCTTCACGACAAGCGTCCGTGGTTGTCCTACATACATGGCTTGCCCGCTCACGCGCCACTGCTTGCTGGCACCTGCGACTGCCTCGGACTCCGGCTCCGCGGACGCCTCGCGCAGGACGCCCCGTCGGCCGCGACGGGCGTTGGAGCAGCGTCCCTCAGCACCTTGGCGACAACCTGAGCCACCGCATACGCAAAATTGCACGGGACCGTGTTCCCGATCTGCCCGTAGGCCGCGTGGATGCCGCCTTGGAAAGGATAGTCGTGGGGAAATGTCTGAAGACCAGCAGCCTCCGTGACTGTCAGCCTCCTCACCGACTCTGGCGCGATCCAAGCAACCGCGCATGCACCCTTCATTTGCAACGCGCACAGACCATTGAGCACACAAGAACAGCCTCAATGCAGATGCTTCGCGAAGTTGACACATCGGCTCGAACAGACGCGTGGACCTTGCCGCGCTCAGCCATACCTGTTTCCAGGACCAACTTCCGGGCAGGGGATCGCGTTCGTGGCGCCGCGTGGTTTGATGAGATCGCTGGGGCTGTCGGCACCGACGTAAGCTGGCGGGGTGTAGGCAGGCGCCTGCGAGTCGCTCTTTCAGCCTGCGGACCTCTTCTTCCAACTTGCGCTTCTCACCGCGTTCCCGCTCCAGAAGGGTGCTCGCACTGGTATTCATACATTCGAGCACCCTTGCCTCAGCCTCCTTTGCTTTAGCCTCCTCGAATTCCTGCTTGCGCTTTTCGATGGTCGTGCCACTATTTGAATCGGACAAAGTGCGGAACTTCCGCCGGGTCTGCCAACATCGTGCTGCCTCCGCCTCCGTCAACACGCCCGAGCGCACAGCCAACTGGACGCTCGCGTGCGTGAGCTGGCCCTGAAACTTCTCTGTTCCTGGCATGATCGTTGCGGTCGCGTGCGCGTGGGGAGGCAAGGGGGTATTGAGCCGATGCGTCTGTCGCAAAACATCAAGCGCCTGCATGCGTTGCCTGCTTGCTGGCGGCGGTTGCGCAGTGCCTTGCTGCATTGCTACCTCTTCTGGGCCGCATGGGGCGTGCGCACAGTTGCTTCAGTGATTTCGGTCTGTCAGAGAGCCCGCCCTGCGCGGCCATCTGGGCAGTGCTGATGCCCGGGATCCATCCGGGTTCCTCTGAGTTCACTTTGTTTGACTGTGTTGGGGTCGGTGGCATGGCTGAGCCGTTCAAATAGCCGCTGTTTTTACTCCTCGATTTGCACTTCTCATCCACGTCTGCCTGCACAGGCCATGACAATCGCTCTGTATCGTCCCAATTGGAACCGCTCTCACTCCGAACGATATGACCGCACCGATGGTGATCCTTACTGCATGCGTCGTCGCTTAGCAGCTGGGGTCATCCAGGCGCTGCGTGAGCAGCGCGTGCAACGAGTATTGACTGCGACGGTCGCAAGGCCGTAGTCAATATATGCGAGGAAACGGGCGTCTCCTCCCACCTGCAGCGAAATCTGCTTCGCCGCACGTGGGACAGAAGAGGAGACTTTTGCTTGCACAGACCCCGCAAAGAAGATCGCCAACGACTTCAGGAACGTCGATGAGCGCGGTGCATACCCAACCGAGCAACAGGTCATCGCCGGTGCAAATACCTGGCCTTTTGGAGCACGCCACGCAGAGACGCTTGTCCAGAGCCAATGCCAGCAAACGCTGCTGTCGGTCATCCAACTTCTTTGGCTCTCGGATGGCTGACGGGTCGTGCTTCGTGAGCGCCTCCACACAGCGCTTCAGAAACTCTGCCTTCCTGTTGCGGGCAGCATCGAATGGCGGAAGCGACCCGTCGCGAGAGAGACTCAGCGCCACACGCACGACGCAAACTAAGTTTTGCTGCCCAGACAAGCTCCGCAGCAGCAGCGCGATGGGGCGCTCTTCGGTGTGGCACCTCACGAACGTCAGCTCGTCGAGAGAGCCAACGCTGCACGCGACAACGACCGCCATGGATTTCAATCCGTCTTTCCAGACTTCGGCGCACGCCGCGGGGTGGCCGGCGATAGCCACGACGCCATCTGTAGCGGCGTCGGTGAGCATCAATGGCGCGGCTGGCGCGGCGTCGGTGAGCATCGCTGCTGGCGCGTCATCCTCAGAGTCTGAAACTGCATCGAGTAAAGCGCGCGCCGTCGGCGCTGTTTCTGGCCCTAGGAATGCTGGGCGTGGCTCCCCTTCTTTGAAGAACCAAGTGCTCACATCCTCCGCATACGTACTGACTGTTGTGTTTCTTGCTGCGGCCGCTGGTGCTGCGGCCGTTGGTGCCCTGTACTGCTTCAGCGGTGACGCCAAGAACCAATCGTCAATACGGCGCTTGTCCAGCTCATCTAGCGGCCGGATGCTTTTCTCAACACTGAGCCAATGCGCCGCGGGCAATGCAGCAATGACCGTGTCTATGGCACTGCGTGCGTTCTGAACCTGCATACGCTTCGAGGTGGACACCAGCAAGCAAGCTCCAATACCATCGATGACCAGCGAAGCGCTTGAGATCGGGCTTGCTTTGCGACTAAGCAGCTTCGCCATATTCTTCGCCAAGCTAGCTGCAGCATCCGTGAAGCCCACTATCTCATCGAACGGGGGACGTGGGGCGAAAACGTCAGCGAAGAACGACGTGTACTTGCCACCTTCATCGCTAAGCTCAAGCACTGGACGCTGCGTAAGGAACTGCATCACTATGGCCGGGAGCCCCCTCTTTGGAGCAGCCGTGGTCCATAACACGGCCGAAAAGAAAAGGCTCCAAACATTTTATTGGAGCGAAGATGGGGAAAAGGTGACACGTGCCGAATCATTGGGAGGGGTGGCCGGTACGAACCCTAGTGCTCTCGGGGTGGCTGCGCTATCCACTACGCAATGATTGTCACTGCGACGGTCGATCCCCTTTATGCCCCTTTTCCACTTCGCAACCTAGGGCTCCTCATGATGACAAGGCCGACCCGCGATGGTCTAGGAGCCCAAGCGCCCAGAAAATAAAAATTTCTACCTACTCCTCCTCCCTAAAATCAGAATTTTCTGGGCACCCCCGCGTACTACACTCATCACCCTTCTCGTCTGTAAGGTAACATAGGGCACCTCAAGACGACGTGGCCGACCCGTGAGGCCTAGGAGCCCAAGCGCCCAGAAAATAATAATTTCTACCTACTCCTCCTCCCTAAAATTATTATTTTCTGGGCACCCCCGCGCACTACACTCATCACCCTTCTCGTTTGCAAGGTAACATAGGGCATCTCAAGACGACGCGGCAGACCCGTGATACCTAGATAGCCACAAGCGCCCGGAAAATAATAATTTCTACCTACTCCTCCTCACAAAAAATAATATTTTCTGGGCACTCCCCCCGCGTACTACACTCATCACCGTTCTCGTCTGCAAGGTAACATAGGGCACCACAAGACGACGTGGCCGACCCGTGACGGCCCAGGCGCCAAAGCGCCCAGAAATAATAGTTCCTGGCACTTCTCCGGACAACCCGCGGCAGTGCGAGCACACTTTCCCTGGGGGCATGGGGCGCTGCGACGCAATCACCGCGTTTCGGTGTCTTCCTTTCGCCATAGGTGCACTTGGGGAAGAAGTACTTGGTGCGAGCCTTCTGATCTCCAGTCGCCCCTGGAGGGCTCACATCCATGGTGTTTGACAGCCACCTTTCGTCATGAGCGACCATGTCGACGACGCGGCTTTCGAAGCGGCGCAGCTCGTCTTCCGTAAGGTTGCCAACGAACTGCCGTACCCCAAACGGGTCGCCACACTTGACACCAGCTGGGCACTTGGCGCCTCTGAAAACGTGTGTGATTTCAGTGAAATTCCGGCCGCTCCTCTCGACCACTCGCTGCCGCGGCTCGCACAGCATTTCGCACTTCGTTTATTGCCCCTGTTTGTGCGCTGCTGCCCTGGCCTCACCCTCAGTGCTCTTTGCGAGTGCCGGATTCTTATACGGTACACACAAGTCATCGCTGTGCGGGTCGCTCGGTGAGTGCGTGGTCCCAGCAGCATCCAAGGGTTGAAGCAGCTTGCCGCCACTGTCAACTGACACGGTCGCAGTGCAGGCATCGACTTGTTCCTCGAGCTGACGAGCTTCCTGCTCTGAATGCTTGCACAAGCAGCGGAGCAGAGTCTTCAAGGCAGCCCCATTCGTGTTCTGTCCGCAGCGACCCGCGGCAACCTTCGCAGCGCACATCCACGCCTTCTGCTCGACTATGCTGACTGCTTTCTCGAGTATCCTGTCCGCTTCGGCTGCACGAAGAGGAGCGCTTGGGGAGAGGCACTGCAGAGCCAGCAGCTGCAGCCTCGGCTGGCTCCATGTCCTCAGCTTCATCCAGCAATTCCTCGTCTGGCTCTCCTGCGTGCATCTGCTTGGCAAGCTGGAGATTGTCGTGCTGGGCAACCACGGCGCTACTCGCGATGATGTCCTTCTCCTCGAGGAGTCTGGCGACTGCGCGGAGAACGCGCTCGTTTTTGCGCTTCGATGCTTCCACGGACTTCTCGTGTGCATCTGCAAGTTCTGCCGCATCGCTCAGTGCCTTCTGGTGCTTGCTTCGGCAGCTGGCTTTGCCCTGCGCGACAGCTGCTCGCAGCTTGGCACGGATTCGGTCTCGCGCCTGCAGCGCGGCGACGCCGTCGACCTGCGGCGTGAAGCGGGCATCTGTCTGGCTCCAGTGACTTGTTGAGCCCTTGAGGCAGTCGAGCTGTCGCGCCGCCTCCTCGTGCTGTGTTGTAGACTCGATGGGTTGGTCGTCAAGCCCCCAGCTGAGCCTGGCATGGCATGGCATGGCGGATAGAAGAGATTCGCCATGGCGGCTGGCATGGCGGATAGAAGAGATTCGTCAGCAACGCTGCTCTGGAGTCTAAAACAGCTGCAGATTGTACATCATACGCATCGGTGCAGCGGCGCCTATTACTACCTCTCGCTTGTCCATTACCAGCTCTCGCTGGGCTATTACTACGTCTCGCGGGGCCATTACTACCTCTCGCGGGGCCATTACTACCTCTCGCGGGGCCAATACTACCCCTCGCTGGGCCATTACTACCTCTACTACACTTCGCTTTGCTACAACTACCTTTCGCAGCCCTAGTTAGCACATTGTTTTCTGCATCAGATTGACCCCAAGAGCCACGAGCCATTAATCGTTTGGCATCCCAGTACGAACAATTGCGATTCACTTGCTTTGCACATATGCAGCAGACTACGGCAGCCCACGCTTTGCACATACACGCGCGACAAACTTATTCACGTCTAGATCCACCAGGCTCCTCGCACTCATTTCACGCGTCGCCGCTTCGGGGCTGCCCCTGCCACGCCGAAAACGCGCTCCGTGATGGTCCGGAAGACAAGCGACCCAGTAGGCGCAGCTTCAGGGACAGCTGGCATTCCGTGTTGTGTCAGAAGGTTGGCTTCAAATGTCATGATGATTGCTGATCCTGGTGCGACCACCTGGTCGAAGAAGGGTTGCTCGCGGGCCTGCGCGGCATCCATCCGCTTCTTGAATGCCTTGGCGTCCTCGTCGGCAAGTCGTTCCAGCTTGAGGCGGTGTCGTAGCTGGAATGGGCGGCCGTGTGCGCCAGTTTTCACCACAGTAATGAGCGAGCCTGGGGCGATGGACTTTGGCTTATCGTAGTGCCCCATCAACCAACGTACTTCGTCACCATGTAATGATTTGCAGCAGGGTATCCGATGTCGACCGCCCAGGTATCGTAGCGGGCGGCTACCGGGGCGAGCAGTGGGCAGGCAGCCACATCGGAGGTGGCCGACACAATTCCGCGCGTCCAGCCAGCGTGATAATATTCCACGTAGCCGCACTCGCGCGGATCACCCTTTTGGAACCACATTTTCGAACGTTTGAGTTCGTTGCCGCGGTAGGTCAGCGCCTTGTGGGCTCCGTCGACCCATTGAGCTGCTGCGGGTGTGATTGCATCTCCCTTCCCAACGATCCCATAGGCCCGCTCTAGCTCTGTCTGTAACAGGGCTGCGTCACATCCCAAGACATGCCGCGCGAAGTCGGGGACGACCCAGATGTCCAGGCCGGGCAAGACGCGATACTGCTCCAGTTCGCTAAGCGCGCACAGGGCCATCAGTGCTCTTGGGCTTTAGGCGTGCGGGGCGCTGCTTCAAGCACACGATAGCTCCTGTTACTGACCGTGCTTATTAGCAGTTACCGTTGGGCTGTAGGTTGGGAACACGCGCCTTTTCTCCGAACGAACGAGCCTCCGATGCGCCAGCACGACCCAGACCACTCAATGTGCGCGCAAGTGTGTTCTCCTCACCGTTCACGCGCTTGGCTTGCACGCATTAGGTCGCTCCGACCTCCCACCCCCGTGCACGGTTGGTCTCCTGTGCGGCGCGGTGTGCAATACCCCCCCCAGCACCTACGCGGGGGTGCGCGCAACGCCTGACGCGGAGACTGCATATAACATCAGCACCACACAGTAGCTCCATAGTTCTAAACGAGGCTCTAAAATGGCATGCAAGCGATATGGCTGAAGCAAAGGAGCGGGGGGAGACAACAAGCGCCAGGCTGCATTGCACCCGCCAGCCAGCCAGCCAGCGCGCCCACGTTACTTGCGTCCTTCTTACATACTTTCACATCCCATGGCACGCAGGCCGAGAGTCTGCGTACTGCGGTCGCTACTTCGCATTCACACGACTGTTCATTCTTATCAAGGTACCTCTCGCATTATCGTCGATCCTGCCCTCCGCACGGGCGTTACGCTCGCGCTTTATGTGCTTGGCGAACGACTTGTACTGATTCACGAGGTCAGCGTTGCTGCACTTCTCAAGCACGCAGGCACGCAACTGGCGGCAAGGCTACCGTTTGCAAAGGCGTGGAGACGACACGGCAGACGCTGAGTGCTAGAGCGGTCGGGGCGTGCTTTCCCACCCTTGAGCCTGTCTTGCGTTTTACAAATAGGGCGTCAGGCTTACACCAGCCAGGCCCCTTGCAGTGAGCTTCCCCCCAACATGATTTCGGTCCGTCACAGGCGAATGAGTTTGTCTTGTGATCTGCTGTTCTCTCGCAGTTCATGTCTGTTCGTGGGTGTTCTTACGCCAGCCAGTCCCCTTGCAGTGAGCCCCCCCCCCCAACGTGATTTCGGTCCGTCACAAGCAAATGACTTTGTCTTGTGATCTGCTGTTCTCTCGCAGTTCGTGTCCGCTTGTGGGTGTTTGTGGGTGCGCTAGGGCTGTTACATGCACCTGACCATTGGAGGTTACACTATTCTCACAAGTAGCTCCATAGCTCTAAACGCGGATGTCCAGGGATTTTGTTCGCGGCCCCTGAGGCTGTGGCGCTGAGCGCCCGGGATGGTCACGCGGGATGACGTCTGGGATAAACACGCGCGATGAACCCCTAGGACACACGGGAAGCACAGACGCACGCGAATGCGCTACAATGACTTTTTTCCCGACGCGTGCGTGGGAAGGCGTGTAGCTACGTCGAATTATAAAGCAGGTGCGCGGCGCCACTGGCCCAACGACTACCACGCCGCAGCTCGCACCACCACTGCGCCGGAACAAAATCTCTAGATGTCCTCTCCCATCCACACGCTGCTCGATTTGGCGTACTCGCTTTGCATATCTCGGCTCATCGGCGCCAGTCCTGAGCTCGCTGGGCGGCCGCCGCCAATCGTGCATACGCACGCGTAGGTGAATGCGAGCGCCGGTTTTCAGCCAGAGGCTCGAACACCGAGATAAGCTCGACACACGCATCGAAAGCGTCAAGAACTTCAGCACCGAGGTCGTACGGGATCTTCTCTCTTGGGCCTCCCATTGGACATTTGATGAGATCGGTGCTAACACTACCATCTGTATCGATGCTGAAATGCCCGAAGCGACGAGTGCGCCAAACTGGAGAGCCTCTGCATCGATGCACGTAAGGGTGCTTGCGCTCTGCTGCACGCCGCCGTGCAGCAGCCAGCGCTGCGAATTGTTCTGCGATGCCTTTGGCGCCGGCCACGCGTTTCCCCGCCTCTGGGGTTACCATGAGGAAGCTCGCGCGGCCCAGCTCCTGCGTGACCGCGTTCTTGAGCTGGTGCCCTGGCATGTCCACCTCACTGCTCCGCAGCACCACGTTGCCGGCAAGCGTCGTGGCCACAAGCATATCTTCCTGCAGTGTGATGGTGATCGATGCCTTCGGTGGCATGGCGGCAGATATCGCTGAGTCAATCGCCGCGGCTGCGCAACAGATCAGGCTGCGCAAGCGCCACTCCTTTTTAAGTCACTATGCCGAGATGCTTGAGCCTTGGTACAGTGATGCTTGATTTCATGCGCATCCCTTCTTGCCCGCAAAGGTGCGCGATCAAGGCACTGGCTGGCTGATAACGCGTGCGCATGTCAAGTCGTGGCACATTCGCTAGGCACCCACTGGGATCGACAAATGCGTCGTGTGTGCGAGCTTTCGGTCTGCCAGACCGCGTGCGATCGATGCATCTGCAAGCGGCGGAGATGATGATGATGATGATGATGATGAAGCGCCTTGAAAGGTCGGTCCTCCCATAACACAAACCTGAGAAGCCACCAATACGCCAAATGCGTAAGGTAGAGAGAGAAAGAAGGCGAAGAAGCAGGAAAGAATAGAAGCGGAGAATAGGTAAAGCCCAACCCAGGATTGAAACCCAGGATACTGAAAGAAAACATAAATGAAAGACTGTCCAAGATCCCAAATAAATCCCACCACTAGGTTCCTCTTGTGTTGAATGAAGATAGAGAAACAGAAGAAAAGGGATGCCCAAATTTGACTAACAAGATCTTGAGTGACAATTGGGTCCCAACTTTGAAAGCACATGGTCCCAAGGTCTAAAGTAAGAGGTGAAGAAAACTTTCATTAAGTCCCATGAAACCCATTTAACATGAGTAGTGATCAAGGCTGATATATATGACTAAAAGAGAATCTGAATGATAAACTGAACGACCCAAGCACGCAATGAAACCAGAAGATACGGAGGCACGCAAGATGAACGGTCAAAGCTGAATGAGATCCCAACCATGAGAACCCACGCCAGACCTGTCGAGGAATATGTAATATGGATGAATTCAAACTAATATGGAGAACGCAAGGTGGCTGGAATTGTTTATAACCTTTTGTATTTGCAAACCACCATCGTAGGCGAGCCGCCGACGTTTGAACTGAAATGTCTGAGGACCCTATCCCCAGGACATAAGAAATACATGCAAGAAAGACTGAGAAAGACTGAGAGCCCTCCAAGAAGCCGCAGGCCCACGCACCACGGACACCAGAAGATTCCAGTCTAAGGAAGTCCCAGGAGTGCTCTTCAGCCATACCTCCACCGCCACTTCTCCACGAAGAAATCTCCATCCCACCAGTAATCGGACAAGTACCACACAACCGGGTGAGGCCAGCCCGAATCGGGATCGATCCACGTGTCAAAGTACTCCGTTTTCCACACTTTCGTGTAGACTTCGTCTACTTCGCAGTAGTTCCACATTCCGCCCGAGCCATGGGACCACTTGAGACGCTTCTTGGCAGCAAGCATGACTGGAAGGCAGCGTTTAGCCATCCACTGGAGTTGAAAGTTTCCCAGCCGTACCAGACAGGAGCTCCAGAAAGGATTTGAGGCAAAACGGCTACTGACCCGCAACAAATTCTGTCCAAGGAACTCTACGAACCCTCTCATCGGGACCCCGAACGTTGACATACAGACCATGATAGCCGCTGTCCCGGCAAGCTTTGAAGTATGGGATTCTGCACCAGTCATATGTGAAATGAGGACCACCAAGGCCCGTCGGAATAAGAAGCCGAGCCGGCAACTTGACCACCCTTCGGAATAGTAGCGGGGAGCAGTATGAAAGTGCCTCAAGATCCCGTTTAGATAGGAAGCAGACTTTGCGGTTAGACCTGCAAAGATTCCCCTGAAAGATAACGTAAGGATCCGAAACCGTGTGATGTAACATACCGAAAGCTTGAGCCCGAGACTGCAGGAGCCGACAGGGGTCAAGTGGAGAGAAGGGGCCCATCCCTCCAAAGCCTAAGGGAGGTGAACAGACGCCGAGGCCCAAGGACTCAGAGGCTTCCTGAGGGGAGGAAAGGATTGTTGCGAAGCCACGGTATCCCTAAGATCGCAGGGACCGAGCGGGTCCCAGATAGAATCGCACAAGTGACATCTCCTGGTGTCAGCCAATCCACTAGGTGGTAGGCAGAGGAAGGGGGAGATCCCAATGGGGTCTCGATTCAGAACCCAAAGGCAAATTCCGTGAGGCGTCAGATGCCCCGGCTCCACTAGTATTGAAGCCTGTTCTCTGAGGCCGCAATTAGGTAAGAGACCCAGACCTCTGAAGATTCTGTAACATTGAATTTGTGCACTTGCATTCCGTGGAACATTGCCACGGCGAACTTCCGAGTATAGGGCGCACATGGGCCACGAAAAAAGCGACGGTCTTTCCCAATCCTAGCAAAGGACCCATGTTGATCGACAAACGTCAAAATTGAACGAATGGAGCAGATGATGGGAGAGATCCCCTGAATTACGTTCCAGAACCGATCTGGGTCAACATACCCCGCTCCCAGCCCAAGCTCCATCAGATCTCCAATAAGCTCAAGCCATCGAGAAGTGTCGGGTTCCCTTTTCCACCGATCGCGGACCATCCTCTGTACATCGGTGACCCGACCAGCGATTAAGCGAAGCTCCTCCATGGATTTAGACGAGGCCCTGGTAGGCTGTCGTTTTTGAAGATACCTGGCCATTTGACCCCATATATTCCACCAAACTGTGTAAATGAAATTCCCAGGGTCCGACCAGCGATTGTCGTAGAACACTGCGCCTTTGTATGACATCGTCTTGATCTGTACAAAAGACATAGAGCGCACTGCGATTCCCACGATCCCAATAAGGTTATTGCATGCGTCACTTGAGAAGAATTCCTCAAAGAGATTCCATAGCTGCCTGAGAGGTATATCGAATTCACGCCCCTTCTCATACATGTGGAGTGTGACGCATTTCTGTGGATTGTATGAACCCAAATTTACAGGAACGATCTCGGAACTTTCAATTGCCAGTGCACGTGAGCAGACGGATGCCCATGCCTCGAAGACACAACACTGGAGAGATTTTGAATTCCATGGCCTGACGACCCTCTGAGGGGCAAGCATGAGAGTGTGTTCCCAGATAACTTGAGAAGAGGTTGAAGCAAAACGAGGTAAGGCGGATTGAACCAAAATGACTACAGAAAAGCACCAGGACACCAAGACAATCGACAGATGGAGATCCAGGAGATGGGGAGACAGGGGTGTGAGGTACACTTTATCAGGGATCGGACGGCAGTCATCGTCCTGGCCAACGTAGTGAGATTAACAATCCCAGGCCAAACCCATTTTGAACTGAAGTAAAGAAGCAAACTAAGCGCAAAGCAACCCCAAGTTGAAACTTGTCACGTCGAGGCTGTGGGAAAAGAGCAAGAACCGACCCCACTACTTTGGCCCCGACAATCGGATTGAGAAGAGCATGATGTAATCCCAGCTCATGAGAAATGACCTGAAGGCCCAATGAAATGAAGCACTTGTAATCCCAGATATTCCCAGATTGAACCAAGAGTCACCGTCCTGGCCAACGTAGTGAGATTAACAATCCCAGGCCAGACCCATTTAGAACTGAAGTGTAGAATCAAACTAAGCGCAAAGCAATCCCAAGTTGAAACTTGCCACGTCGAGGCTGCGGGCAAAGAGCAAGAATCGATCCCACGACTTTGGCCCCGACAATCGAATTGAGGAGAACATGATGTAATCCCAGCCCCAGAGAAATGACCTGAGTGCTCAATGAAATGAAGCACTTGTAATCCCAGATATTCCCAGATTGAACCAAGAAATGAGCTGAGGGCCCAATGGAATGAAACACTTGAGCCGTATCTTCGGAACGACCTTGATCACATCAGGAAGCGAGGTTTGCAAAGCAAATGGCACCTTACATTGGCTCCGTTACTCCCAGACTCCACCGTGATAAGATCTCCCACATCTTCAAACATATCCTTAATGAAGAGGAGGGCCACAATGCAGCTGCCAGCAAAGATCTGCGATTTGTCATGGAGCCTCTCCTTCTTTGGGCAGACCTCTGGGCCAATAAAGGCCTCTTTGGTGTAAAAGCGCGCATTGAACAAATGAATGTCCTTGAAACGAAATGTTTGGAGCCCAAAGTGCCAAAGAATCTTCGTGACATCCCTGGTAGTGAGGTATCCGTGCTCTCCCAAGACTGGAATACTGTCTGAAACCAAGGGACCTTGATTATCAATGATGAAAGGCGTCAGCTCACGAACTGTGATGATTTGGAAATGTTCTCCAACCTTGGCCTTGAAGGTATTCAAACCCGTGAGCTGAGGTACGAAAACCATAATGTAACGCCTTGAGCTCGTGTGGTCTGTGCCGCCCTTCGGAGCGAATATTGGGCAGCCTGAGTGGTCGTATTCCAACTGTGACTTGAACACAGGTGGGCCCAACTTGCTGATCCAGGGCTTCTTGTCCTGTCCCCAGCTTTTGGGAGCTGGTTGCGACCTCCTGTCAGGCGAGTCGACCTCCGCTTCAGATCCTGAGGTAGAGCTCCTGGTGTCTGAGCCCCCCGAAGACGGGGGGGAGTGCCTGACAGGCGCTTCCTCTCGGTAGTCCTGTGTCTCTGGCAAGGCCTCGTCCGGATCTGGCTTGGAAACCGGCGCACCACCCTGCAATTGTTTCTTGGACCCACCTGAGAACTGCATCTTCCTGGCAATCGGTGATCGGCTCCGAGACAAGGAGTCACCCCTGTGCACAGGTGCTGGAGGCGGGGTAGGGAGCACCCTGGACTCGCGAGAGTCAGCACCTGACGATGCTTTGGCCTTGAGGCCCTGATTCCTGATCTCGACCGTCCTCGCTTGGTCCTCCTTTTTCTGCTCGAGCTTCTTCTGCAGCTTGGCTTTCTTCTCATTCGTGGTAAGCACGGGCTTCGGCTCCATCTTATCAAAACGCTTCCGAGCCCAACAATCCAAGGCGTGGCGATCGAATCCAAAGAAAAGAGGAACTGTCGGCTGAATCTGATTCCCAACCAAATCCAGATCCTGAGAGTAACAGGTGTCCGTGGTGAAAAGAAAGGTAGCCCCGCTGGGCGCAGTACGGTAACAAATGTGAGTCTGGATCACGCCAGACAAAGCCAATGGCTACTGAAGGCGAAGGTGAAGCGGTTGCCGAACCCAATCAAGCATTTCTTGAGCAAGACCCAAACGAAACTTTTTGTCCCGGGAGCCCTGAGGGGAGAATAAGGTGGTCCAGGCATCCTTGTCATACCTGAAAACATATCCCCTATGCGAGCGAGAGAAGGTACGGCTGCCCCCAGAGTTATCAAAGGAGCGATTCTGAATGACCCAATGCTTGCAATATTGAAACAGCCTCGACGAAAAATCTTCTGGATGTCTTTGCATGTGTGAAACCCAACTAATAGCTGAATCCAAATGAAAAATAGCCCAAGAAACATCTTTGTATCCCTTGGTTTTACGATTTCTGCGCAAACTAAACTGTTCGGGAGATTCCCCAGGGAGCCTTGAGTTTCAACATGATCCTGATACATTGATTTTGAGCCTTGGTAATCAAATCCGCCGTCGTCTTACAAGGGACCCAGGCAGCACCTCTGGAGCGGATAATCCCCCCCGCCATACAGTTAAGTTTTGAGAGACGTTTTGACATGGGGATCTGCTCGTTGATCAAGAACCTACTGTTAGCCCAAAAGGCTTTGTTAATCTGTGAAATACCCTGCTTGACATCTTCGTGACAGGATCCAGTGGCAGAGAGAATCGGACCCAACACCTTAGCCTCCGGTACAACAGACCAAGTTTTCCCAAAGGGATCGGACCAATTGTATCCTTGAAAGAAATAGGGGTAGGCCGGAAGGATTTCCCGATCGTCTTTGAGTTTGAGCCGATGTTCATTCCAGAGCTCCGACTCTACCAGCGCAGTCAGAGTTGCAAGGTCCTGTTCCGAGGACGCCACCACGAAGATATTATCTGACCAGCTGAGAAGGGCAATCCTGAAATCGAAGCCCAACTGCTCACAACGGATAGAGATTCCCAAAGAAGAATGGGTGATTTTCTCCAGGGTGGAGGCGAAGCAATCTTCTACGGAAACGCGCGCCAGTATGCATGCAGTCCCAGCTCCCTGCATCAACCCACGGTCTCTCTGGATAATCCCAGTGTTTGAGTCCAAAAGAGAGATGGAGACTCGAGGGTTCCTATGCAATCTGATGCAGCCAACTGCTAAGAAAAGAGGGACTCCCCGTCCCAGTAGACTCCGCAGGACTAATCCATAACGAATCTGATCGTGGTGAGCTTTGATGTCAGTAATCCCAACCATTCCTTTGTTAAAATGATCTCGGCCGTATTCTAAAATGTGATAGACACTGGTATGAAGTTCTTGTAATTGTCCACCTTTGCTGAGCCCAAAAATAAGACCTTTGAGACCTTTTGAATCAGTGTATGAATCCAAAACTGGCAGAATGGCCCTTGCCACATATGCGTGCCCGATCTTGGCAATTGCTGGCTGGGGAATGACAACTCTGGTTTGAGAGGGGGTTCCAAAACCCTTGATCTTGTTACCCAGGTGGCCCCCGAATGTGACATCATTCCAAAATTCGGGATCGCCTAAGCAGGCCTGTATACACCCCGTGAGCCTCTGGGACCATCCCGAGGCTTTTACTACCGCCGTACAGGCGAACTCTGTGTCGATCTTACGGGGTGCCTTGATGTTGTCCAGCGCGTCTTCCAGCAGGGAAGGAATGATGGGGTCGTTGTAGAAGTTGAAGAAACCCAAAGAGCGAAGCCAGGCGAAGTCCTCTTGCCGCTCCGATTCTGAGAGTCCCCACCTCTCGCTGTATTCTTCAGCCACCAGTTTGGTACAGCGGTCCACTTCAAAAATCTTGACTTGATCTACACAGAAACCCAAAATGGGTAGGAGTGTCTTGCGGGAGGCCCAGACCTGTTTTCCTTGAGAGGCGTTGAGCGCAACCTGAGCCAAATCGCGTTGAAGTTTAGTTATTTTGAGAGCTTTCAAGAGGAGCTGACCCAATGAGACCCTCGTGGCTTCGTTAAGTTCGGAGTTGAACCGTGTCCTGAGACTCTTGACCCAAAATGGCTCTTCGGCAAATCTCCTAAAACTCCTTGGGAGAGCCTGAGTCGCTTCATAAACCTGGCCCAACATGTTTTCCCAGAAATCAAAGGAGAGGGTGAGGTCCCTTGGGTCATGATACCTGACCGCACATGAATCGGGCTGTTCTTCGTCATTTAAACGAATAAGTTCCGATGATTCGGGAAACAGACCTTGGGCGATCTTCCTAACCTCCAAAATGTTTGTAGGAGTCCACATGAGAGGTCTCCTCTTACGCATCTGCTGGTGAAAGGCCAGCACATCACAGCCAACAAGAGCATGGTCCCCTGGGACGCCCGCCCAGCGGGCGAAACAATCAAAAGTGAGATCACTCCTGGCGAGAGCTATGTGATCGATCGTGCTGTTGGCCTGAGAGAGCGCCTGATCACCATCAGGCTTCCTAGTGAATTGCATGGAGGTCTCTTGGAACCTGAGAGGACACCAACGGAGATTGAGGCATGAACAAGCTTCACTGAATGATCGGAATTTCGGATCTCCGTTACCTTGATCGGCATTCATGTCCCCCAACCAAGAAAGAGTAGACCCCACGGGGCGGGATCGACCGAGTTGGATGGCACAGTTGAGAGAATCATGGAAAAAATCGTGGGCAAGATGAGAGAAGAGAAAGGATCTGGCATGATGGTGGCAACCATCGAGACAGTCGGGACGAAGATCAACACGGATAGATCTCCAATCGCAGACAATGTCTTTCACACGTTTTCTCAGAGATTTGTGCACAAGCACGCCCATGGCCCTACACCCAGGGCCAGAGTGATGGCGGTAGTAAGCGTGGCCATTGAAAACAGGGCGTAGTAGCCCATCGTTTTGAAGACAGCCCTTAAAATCCGCCTCTAAGATACAAATTAAGCCCCAGCACTTCAGCTCGAGCAAATCTAGGTTGGCTTGCATTTGAGTCTCGTCGGCCCATTTACCCTGCACATTGAGTGCACATACGAGACCCCTCACGTGAGCATCTCAAAGAGATAGTGCTTCGTCGATTGTGTCTTTGAGCGTCTTACGGAGCGCTTCGTCGGGAATCTCCTTGAGTGACTCGTGCCACTGAAATTCCCCATCTTTGATAGCACCTATCTGACGGTCCAAGACGAAAAATTTTCGAGTCCGAGAGCAAACCACGTAACTGTCCGTGCGATCTCCCATTGCCCTTTCCAGGGCTTCTGATACGGTCTTGAACAATTTTGCTGGGCCACGCTCCTCCTTCGTACTAATCTGGCCACACCAGATCGTATGTTCCAAGTGCCCAGGGATCTTAAGATCACGAATCGCAGCTGCCGCTTGAAGTCCCACTGCAATCGAACTCCATTTAATCTCCACACAACTCCCATACCCAAATGGTGCAACAATATGCGTGGGCTGGGGAACATCCGCCCGGCGAAGGACAGCCCGTGCCTTCTCCAGGGCCTCCTGCTTCTTGAGATTCCAGCCCAGGTTGGTGAGAATGAAGATGTCCCTATCTGCCCTTGGGGTGCTAGCCCACGGCGGACCCTTTTTCCTCGACGGACCCTGGCTCGACTGACTTTCTAACTGTTTGGCTGCCATTTCCGCGCGCAGAGACTTCTGCTCCAGCTCAACGGCAAGAATCCTTTCGTTGAAGGCTTTCTGCACCTCGGTTTCACCCGCTTCAAGGTTGGCAAGCTTTACTTCATGGTCATTGATCAGAGTGACGGCCACTGAAAATTCCTGAGCCATCGCCTTTTGAGTTCCCAACACATCGAATTGTAACGAATCAATACGATCTTTGATAGGAGCGATCTTTTTGTCTAGGAGAGACTCGAGTTGGGCAAGAAACCCGTCGGCACCGGTGGCGGTCGAGGCAGCCCCCGATGGAATCGAACCATTTTCTCCCAAACCAGTACCCTTAGCAGCTCCCTTGGCCGCCAAGGTTCTCATAGCTTTCGAGGCTTCTTGCTGATTTTCTTTGTCGTCGTCTACCATCCGAGCTTCGTCCCTCAGTCTTTTCTGCTTATCGATGTCCAATGATAAGAGCTTTTGCATGGTTTCTCCAATCTGCAATGCCGGCATGGCCAAAAGGATGAAGCAAGAGCCAGTTTCCCAAAATTTGAAATAGAAATGAAGCGCTGAATTGACAAAACCCAGTAAGATTCACGAATTCACCAAATTGAGGCGATATCCCACTGATTGAACCCAATAACCGATCCCCAAAGGCTCAAGGAACAGTTGCGGTACCGGAATGGCTTGTGGTAAAGAATGAGCCAAACCTGAGCCAAACCTTGAGCCAAAAAAGCGGCGGAGAGTAGCTGAAAGAAGTGACTGGGCGGCCGTCGTTGTAATGACAATACCTTGGGGTTTCGCAATGCGTGCATACATGTGCTTGCTTGATGGCTGCATTTTCGTATACGGTCTCATACTACTATCTCACACGGCTGAGCATTCAAATCAAACAGCTCGCCCCGAACGATCCTACCCTCAGGCAGGCCCATCAGGTTATCAGGCGCCACGGTAGAGGAGAGGATCCTGCGCGCCCCTGTTTCGAAAAAGCACCAGGGAATACCTCGCCGAGCCCTCGGCTACCTTGTACGGGAGCACCCAGTGGTCGCGCCTGCCGCCCACCCGCTGCCACATGTCCTTCGTGCTGACGCTGAAGCAGGCACCCCGCTCCTCCCAGCAGAACTCGCCACCGTCGAAGTCGCCGAGCGAGACGCACCACTGGCACGAAGTGTCTTTGCCCCGGTGGTTGTGGCGGACCTGAGCCGAGAAGTTCTTATTGATCCGCGCGCTGGTGAACTCATAACCGAGCGCCTTCGCCTCGCCCTGAAGCAGAACCCACAGCTCTTGGCAGCACACTTGCTCATCCGGCGGGAGACATTTGGGAACGATGGTCTCGTTGATCCCATGGGCGTCGAAGTTCTTGGCGCCTGGGGCTTGGCGGGTTGTGCCCAGCGTGATGTTGCATCGCCCGAGCCGCTTCGACCCGACGTTGCCCTGCGAGAACTACATGCGCCCCAGAACTTCGAGGATTTCGGCCTGCTTCGCCATAGGCTTGCCGACCAGCTGCAACGGCCGCGGGCATGGCAAAGACGCCTTCCTTCCTCTGGCGGTACCACATTCTGACTGGGTCAGCGTGTGGCCGCGCGTCGCCTCGAGTTCTGCCAATGCTATGCCAGCGGCCCAGCGGTCGGGGAGGGCGCGCGTCAAGCCCGCAGCGGGGAGGACTGAGATGAGCAAGCGCTCGAGCACGTTGACAGACATAGCGTTGCCGAGCTGCTTTTGGAACTGGTTCTCGGACACTGCGAGCTGGAGCCTGCGAGGACTCATGCCTTGGAGCCTGCACTTCTCTGACAGGTTGAGCGATCGGCCGTGGTGCGATATCCAGATCGAGGCATTGCGCAGGAGGCAGGGGCACCTATCATGCATTGCCGCCGAGAACCTGTCGGCACGCGTGACGTCGAAGAGGTAAGGCTCTCTCAGTGGATCCTTGCCCGCCTTCGTCAGTTTGCTCATCTTCGCCCCGAATGTCTTTGACGCCGCTCGCCCTTTCGGAGCAAAGGCATCGGTTTCGTCAGGCTGCGCCGCGCGATCGTCTCGGGCCATTCGAAAGTGCCCTGGTCAACATCTTCGCGGATGCACACGATGTAGAGTCGCGGCCGGCTCTGCGGCACGCCGTGGTCGCTTGTGTTCAGAACCTTCCAGTGGATATTGTAGGAGCCAGCTTTCTCGAGTTCCGCCAAGACTTCCCGGAAATTCCTGCCCCCGTTCGCCGACTTCAGTTCTGGGACATTCTCCAGCAACACCACGCAGGGCTTGCGATGCCGGATGTATTGCGCGACGGCGTAGAACACCTGGCTGCGCTTGTCCTTGAAGCCCTTGCGCTTCCCTGCTTTGCTGCTTCCTTGGCAAGGCCAACCGACAATGTAGAGATCGCACCCGGGCGCCTTGGCGTTGTCGCGCTTCATCATGTCCTCGTAGAGCATGTGTGCCGAACCAGCAGGTGCAAAATTTGCCCGGATGGTTGCTTGCACGTGCTTGTCGATGTCGCTCGAGAAGACATGCTCGAAAGGAACTCCGAGGTTTTCCACGGCCTGGATTGGCGCTTCCAGACCGGAACAATCCGTGCCGACCCTCAGTCGGCGCAGTGCAGCATGCCTGGGCTCGTCGGCGCCATCCGCGGCGGGCAGCGGCGCGCCCCCGTCCGACGGCGGCGTCTCGTCGCAACCACCAGCGTGCAAGGTCCGTCGCGGGCACTTGGCCGCCTGCTCCAGGCTATCCCGCCCTGAGGGCGTGTCGCGCGCACGCTTCGCGCTGGACCGCTTGACGCGTGCCGGGCCCTTGGCTGTGTTCTGGCGGACAACCTCTTCGATCTTGCGCGTGCACTCGTCCTTCTCAGCCCGGAGCTGGTGGAGCTTATCCTGCAACCGCTTCTCGTCGATCTTGCCTTCCGCTCGGTCGTTACGCTCGCGCTTTATGTGCTTGGCGAACGACTTGCACTGATTGACGAGGTCAGCGTTGCCGCACTTCTCAAGCACGCAGGCACGCAACTGGCGGCGAGGCTTCCACGTGCAAGGGCGCGGGGACGACATGGCAGACGCTGAGTGCTAGAGCGGTCGGGGCGTGCTTGCCCACCCTTGAGCCTGTCTTGCGTTTTACAACTAGGACGTCAGGCTTACACCAGCCAGGCCCCAGTCAGCCCCCCCCCCCCCCCCAAACGTGACTTCGGTCCGTCACAGGCGAATGAGTTTGTCTTGTGACCCCCCCACCCACGAGGTTTCGGTCTGTCAGAGGTGAATGAGTTTGTCTTGTGATCTGATGTTCTCTCGCATTTCGTGTCTTCGGGATTGGAACCACTCTGGGGCCCTGAAGACTCTCAAACCCGAGTCAAGCCAGCATATTATTTCACACAATGCCCGCTGATTTTCCGTTGATTGAAACCACTGGAAACACTTAAACCTGAGTCAGGCCTACATGATCGCATGTCACACCATGTTCCCAAGGGGTCGAGCTGCGCTGCATGTACGTCCGCCCCCCTACTTTCCCAATGCGCCTTCGCACACATGGTCTGTCAGAGCGCTGTAAACGGCTAAAGGGCGGGGGCTCACACCGCGCTCGGAACTTAGTTGCGTTCGGAGCAAGGACGCTTTTCTCAATCTTTTCGAAGCTTGCAATCGCGCGTAGCCACAAGGGCTGCGTTGGCTGACTGTGACTGTGCCTGTCTGAGGGGCTCGCCCCGCTGCAGACGCTCGACGCTCACAGACCGCGCTGAAAAACGCGACGGCTTCCCAGAGCTCGCGGTAGCCTTCGAATGCCTCTCCACGGGGCGGCCGCTTCCCTGGGAGCATTAGTTTTCGGAACTCGCAGAGCATATGCTCGACATTCTGAGCAGCCAAGGGGCGCAGGCCGAGCTGCTCCAGCTGCGCGATGACGCCGTTCCTGTCCCGCGCCTGCAGGGCAGCCGGGAGCGCGCGCAGTAGCCCGTCAAAGACGACCGCCGCTGCTGGACCCCAGTCCGCCTTCACGGCTGCGCGCGCTGCACCCTCATCCATGCCATCGAGGAGCCACAGGCCCATCTGCGCAGCCACAGCCACAGCCACAGGCACAGCTACAGCCACAGCCACAGCAGCCACAGCAGCCACAGCCACAGTCACAGCCACAGCCACAGCCACAGCAGCCACAGCTGCCACAGCAGCCACAGCCACAAAGACCAGCCACAAATACCAAGCGCAGAGGCGGATCCCAAGCGCAGAGGCGCGGATCATTGACGGCCAGGAAGCGAAGCACCATGAGCTCACGAAAATCTGGTAGACCCAGGGCGCGGATGCTCCCGGCATCGCCCCAGCGAAGGCCATCGAGCACGCCTGGGATCTTCTCTGCCAGCTCGTGGGCGAAGCGGCCACAAGCGTCTATCTCTGACGCTGCCGAGCAGGTTGAGGACGCCTTGCTTAAGATGCGATGGTACGACCGCCTTCACGCGTGGATACTGCTGCTCATGGCGCGCGCGGAAGTCCTCTGGCGTCGGTGGCGTCTCTGCACTGAAAGGGCCGAGCACTTCGCGCTTGCGCCAGCTGGGCAGTACTGTTTGGCCGAGCACGACATTGTAGAGCGCATCGGGCGAGAGCTTGTCGTGGGCGAGGAACTGCCGGATTAGCTTCATGGACGTGGTGTCCGTGAGGCAACTGATTGTGCAATGGCTGGTGTGGTCGAAGGCGTCTGCCATTCCTGGGCTCAGTGCCCTTAGCTCCTGGAGGAGCTCGTCGAAAACTGAGCTGGCCAGGTGGCCAATGCGCATAAGGAAGTACGCCCCGAAGACGAGCGTCGCAAGCACATACCTGTCGAGCAGCGGTAGCTCGGGCGGGAGCCCGCTTGCGCTCGCGTCTGCGGGTGCCTCAATCGGCCCACGCTCGGAAGAGAGCTCACCATCTGAGGACATAGCAGGGCTGCTACTGGTATTTCTTCCACAGCAGCCGGCGCTGACCTGCGTCGACTCGAGGCTGCCTGCTTCGCTCAGGCGCTCAACAATGGCGGTGTCTAACCGTCCGCACACCTTGAGATCGCTGTTGGACAACAGGTCGCTGCCACCCGCTTCGCTCGGCGCGGAGGCAGTGGACGAATCCTCCCGGCCGCATTGTCGGAGGAACTTCTTCTCGCGCTCGAGGCCTTCCACCACCATTGCAGTCGTGTCCTCTTGGCGGCGCTTGCGCAGCTCGGCCTTGACCAGCGGCGCGTCGGGCAGCCGAAAGAACACGATGCGCTTAGAGATGAGACGCTGCAACTCCGCTGGGAATTTCCGGAACTTTCTGATCCAGATGTCGAAGGGCCGGTTGGTGGAGATGAGTTGCGGCGCGGCCGCGGGCAAGTTCATCTGGCTGCCGCCCGGCATATCTATGGTTCCCCATCTTTCACATTGAGGAGGTTCACTAAATACTCCTCTAGCGACTGCCTGTGGCCGTTAGTGCTGCCTTTGGGCGCGCAGTCTTCGATGATTCTGGGCACGCCTTTCTCCAGCAACCCCTTGCTGTGAGCCGAGCGCATTCCATTCACCGTTCCCGCGCAGAGGTAATATGGCTCTCCCTCCTGGTAGCGCATGGATAACGTGCGCGCGGTGCCGTTTAGACCCGCGGTCTTGCCTGAATTGGAATCGCCATACACCACAGCCGTCCTCTCGAGATGCTCCGAGGAATTCAGCCAGCGTAGAAACGCCATGTCCTGGGCGCCGCCTTCCGCGGACCAAGCATTGCCGGACCACGCCTCCACGTCGACAAAGTCTGCGGGCATGTGGAGGCCCTCTGACGTAACGGGCCTGTAGCAAGCGTCCTGCAGAATGTCAGCTCTCGCCTTTCGCTCTTTCTTATCTGCGGACCTGAGCGCCTTGAGCTCCGGGCTGACGCACTTCATGAGCTGCGCACGTGGGGGTGCGCCCGGGATCTTGGCCGCTGCAAGGTTCAGCAAGAAGTCCTTGTCCGAGAGGCCTTGGCAATCTTCGAAGGTCTCGAGGGCTGTGGCTTGCAGCTCCTGTCCGCTCTCCACGGTAAAGTTTGACATCGCTTCCTGGGCCTTGTGGAGCCAAGCTTGCACAAATATAACCGTGGCGGCACGGGACGCACGCCCACCTGCTGACACTTCAGGGGGTGGCCCGTACTGTGGCGCAACCATTGGCAGTCCACTGAGATCGACTTCGCCATCATCGCCTTTGTACAGAAGAGCGCGCAGCACTCCATTGTGCTTGGCCACGCTGAGCCAGCACTTGCCCCGCTTGCCCAACGCCGCCCACAGCTTGTCGTAGACGGCCGCCGTTGCGCCCTCGCCCTCCAAGCGCAGCACTGTCCAGCGCGTGCGCCTCGAAATTATGTTGGCGATGCCTTCCTCTGCGCGCGGGTGTAACAAAGGCTGGATATATTCAGCCTCGCTCGCGTCGGCGTCTCCAGTCGAAGTGACGGGCGCATCCGCCAAGGGGCATGGCGGCTGCACCTTTGCTTTCGGAGGAAGCCGCTGCAGAGCGGACGCCATCTTGCGGGACAGGCAATCGATTGAGGCAAATACAACGAAGGGCTTGAGCTGCGATGCGACCCCCGCGCGTGCTATACATTCGGCCATCCGCTGCGTCGAGTCGACCTACTCGCATCAATCGGCACGCACGAGGTGTTTGATGTGCACGGCATTGGAAACGGTTCGCTTGGACTGGCCGGCGCACACAAACGTCCCCGGCACCTCAAACACCTCAAACACCTCAAACACCTCAAACACTAAGTACCGCAGGCTGCGCCGCACTGTGTAGAAAGGTGTTCCTAGCAAGCTCCTGAGGAAGCTTGCGCATGTGCGTCTCTGTCGCGCTACAACTGGGCCAACTACTGCGTGTGCAACTGTCGCATTAATTTCTTCGGCATTGCGAGCACGTCTTACATGGATGCCTCTGCGCGCTCTCATAAGGCACTTCTACAGATCTAACTACCTAGTATCACTCGGCACCGCTGGGCAGACCTCAGTACCCGCCCTCGTCCTTTTCTTGCCCCTCCCTTTCCTCGCGCTCGCTGCCTCAAGCTCGAGCGGTGCCAGCTCCTTCACTTTCGCTTCTTCCAGGAGCGCCTTACGAGCTTTGTTCGACTGTTTGTCTCGCCTAGCTTGCCTGGTCCCTGGAAGATCATCGCAGCGCAGAGTGCGCTCCAGGGAGTCGCCATCAAGTGCGCCGCACTTTCTGACGAACTCCCACACATAGAAGCAGTCAGCCGTCGTCACCTGCTTTGTGCAGCTCTGGGTGGGCTCTGCATCGGTCTGAGCAGGCTGCACCTGGATAACGTACTTCTTGAGTCGAAATCCGCGTTCTGGCTCTTTGTTCTGATTCTTCCAGTACGCCTCTTCCACAGCTGGTTCCCAGCACGCGTCGAGGGTCGTGTCCACTCTGAGAACTTTGGCGCCCTTGCCCGCGAAACCTCTGCCCTGCCCGGGCAGTTTGACGTGAAGCGTAAACCTGCGCCGCACCTCCTCCTCAGACCGAATGCGACGGCGCCCCTCTCGGGCGGCACGGCGCTCCTCTCGGGCAATCTCCTTCAGAGCCTGTTGTGCCCCACTCGGGAATATGCCCGTGGAGGCCGTCGCCGCTGCTACATCTCGGCACTGAAGCGACCCCTTCAAGGCGCCACACGCGCCGTAGATGAAATTGGCGGAAATCATGAACGCCAATTGCTCTGCACTCAGACGCTGTCGCTTGAAAACAATGCCTTCCTTAGCCATCGCCTTTGTGACCCGTTTTCGTTCTTGGAGCAACGCGTCGAGGATACGCGGAAGCAGGCCACGGCAATGGGACGCCGCGACGAAACGTAGAGGTTCCCGGTCGGGAGAGACCGTCAGAGAAGCGTGCGGGATGCGGCGATCTGCGTCGTCGGGGAGGAGAGCGTCGGGCGAGAGGTTGTAGGTGCGCATCAGTCTCGGGCGCAGGCTGGCAGCATCAACTGTGAGGATGGGGTCGAGGTAGTATCCTTGTCGCGACTCCTCCACGTGCGCGCTCTTGTAGTCCTCTTGCTCTTCCTCGCCATCAAGATTAGCTGAGCCGGCGTGCTGTGGTGAATCTTCGACGACGTAATCGTCGGTCTCGTGGGCCGCTGCCAAGAGTTGCGCGTAGACATTGATTTGCTGGCCCACGTGGAGAAGGTCTTCCGGAATCGTGCGAGCCACCTTCGCCATCTCCAGAAGCTTCGGGGGGACATTCAGTTTCTCGAGCAGATTAAGCACCGACATGCAGTCCTGGCAGCAATGCTCCGCCACCAGAAACCGCCCTTCCGGCCCGCGCTCGCACTCCGTGAACATGGCTTTGGCGGGAAGGTTGACTTGCGTTTCGCCGAAGTGGTGGGCGGCCACCGTGTCCAGCTTCAGGTTAGGGAGGTCGGCCGCGTTCTCTCGCTTCAGGTAGAACCACAGATCGGTGCCGATCCTGCCGGGCGTGCGAGGGAAGCACATGGGGTTGTCGCCCATCGCCGCGTAACCGAGCTGCTGATCCTCCAGCACGCAGGCCCGCCGCGTCACTCGCGAAAGTCGCGTTGCCCCCTCGCTCTCTGAGCCGTCCAGGCTCTGTGTCCACTCCTCGAGCACCGCCAACCTGTCTCTGATGTACTTCCAGTCAAATCCGCACGTGTTGTATCCGACGAGGACGTCGGCGTCGGAGTGCTGGACGTACGCAGCGAATGCCTTGAGGAGAGCGACCTCGGTGTCGAAGCTCATCACGGTGACGTTAGTGTTCGGTGGAACAGCGACGTCGTAGAGAGATGGTACGACCCGTTCCTCCCGCGCGGCTTGCGGGGGGTCAGCGTACAGCGTGCGGGAGCACAAGCCGATGGCGATAATGACGTCGTCTACGTTGGTCGCCGTAGGAAACGCGTGCTGAGGAGAATAGCACTCGATGTCCCACGAGAGGACGCGAATCGCGGAGATCTTCTGATCTCTGTATGCAGAGGCAAGAACCAGCTCTTCCCGCGTGACTTGCACATGAAACGCTGTATGTGTCCTGAAGCCACCGACTTCTGCACGCCCCCATACAGCAGAAGTGAGGTGGAGCCACCCGCCTGGACGCAAGCCGACGGACTGGAGCAGCTCCGCGTGCACCTCGACTCTTGATTCGGCGTCCGCCAGGGCATGCACACTGCCTCCATGGAGCACCGCTGTTCAGCGCGGCGAAGAGCGGTGCTCAGCTAGCCGCGGAGGAAAGTGCTGACGACTCGAACGCGAAGCCACGGATGGCGGCGTGGCTGGAGCGTTTCAGGGTCGGCCTCGTAGCCATTCGTCTTCTTCTTGTAAACGACTGAAACGTCCGCCATACCGCTCACGTTCTGGGCCTTCTGGTCGAGTTCTTCTTGCATTGCTTTGGCCAGTTTCTCGAGTCCTCCCACGGGCTTGAGCTTCCTGTATGAAGTAGACCACGGATCCACCACCAGCACGCAGACGGACTCGCCCGTCGCCGTGCGACACCACAGGCGGACCACGCAGGCATAACCTTCCTGCTTATCGCGCCTGCCTATCTCCTTGGCGTCGGGAGTGGCGCTGTGGAGGGCTTCGTTCGTGCGCAGCGATCCCAGCCATGATGCAGCATGTGCGCCCTTTCCGATTTGGACACAGTCAACGTCCAAAATTCTGGCATCCATTATTGCTGGGCTCTTCAGCAAGACGAGGCGCGCCGCTTCAAAGCACACGCCACTCCGCCAAGCGAAAGGATGTTCGTCGTTTGACGCTACGATGTGCGCGCGCAGAGAAAAGCCCTGAGCCAAAACGAATGCACCATAGAATCGCTCGGAATAGCACGCTCGGTCATGTCACGCTTGCACTGAAAGCGGGGATTCAGCTCGCAGGAGCGTGTCGACGAGCGTATGCCGCACTGCGTGCCCCAGGCATTCAGCCCGCTGGAGCGCCCGGGCGAGCGCGTGTTGCAACATCGCGTGAGGCATTATGATTATCCCTCTCGGGGCCCGGAACACGGAACAGCGGCTACGAGAAACCTTCCGTTTGAAAGCTTCCGTTTGGAACCTCTGGAAGCCCATGGACAAGGACACCTTTTGCGCTGCTGGCGGGCTGGCACATGGGAGACTTCCGCCCCTGGTCCTGCATGCTGGGCGCTGGCTTCTGGGCCGCTGATCATGCGCGCGCCGTTTACTACCGCCCATGCGATGTCTGTGCGTGCTTGATACGTGCCTGCACGAGCGGCGGCCACGGACCCACGGACCCACACACTGTGCCACACACCGACGCAAACGGCGCTATGTTACTCGTGTCGTTGGTCTGTCAATTAACGGCTTGCCGCCTATAGCCGCCTACGGTTTTCCTTGTCTGTCTTGCCGCCCCTCCCCTCTTGGGCCAACTTTTCTGAGTTTCGTGCGAGCGGCCAGCGGCGGCCAGCGCCCTGGGCCCTCTGCAGCTGACAGCCATGCCCACAGCAGCCAGCGGCCAGCGGCAGCCTCGCTCGCCCCCCACTTCCCGCACGGCCCGCCATGTATTTCGCAGCATGTTCCGCGGATCCCCCGGCCACGCGTCAGTCATGCCTTTCGCCGCAGCCTTGCCCGCCCGCCCCACGGCCCGCAGAACCGGCATGTATTTCGCAGCACTTCCCGCGAATCCCCCCCGGCCACGCCGCCAGCCACTCCGTTCGCCGCAGCCTCGCTCGGCCCCCGATTCCCGCGGGGCCGCCATGTATTTCGCAGCACTTCCCGCGGATCCCCCGGCCATACCACCAGCATTGCCCGGCCAACATTTCCATGCCAGCATTGCCAGGCCAGCCTTACTACGCCATCATTGCCCGGCCAGCATTGCGAGGCCAGCATTGGCAGGCCAGCATTGGCAGGCCAGCATTGCCGGGGCAGCATTGGGCCAGCATCACTGGGGCAGCATTTCCCGCGGATCCCCCGGCCACGCCGCCGGCCACGCCGCCCGCCGCAGCCTCGCTCGCCCCCCACTCCCCGCAGGGTCGGGGATGTATTTTGCACATTTTCCGCGGACCGAAGGCGACGAGGGCGACGACGACGAGGACGACGACGGACCCGCGACCACCTCCCCCCTTATACTCACGGACCCGCGGGCTTCGCTGTCTGGCTCTTATGCGCTGTTTTCGTGTCTGCTCGTGGGTGCTCGCGGGCACGAGTCCGGGCACAGGTCTGGGCACGGATCTGATGTGGGTGTTGGCTGTTGGCCGGATCTGGCCCGCGTTTTGATTCAGATCCGTGCCAACGTTTTTCAATAACGAAACATAGAAGCGTAGAAACGTACAAATTTGGACGAAACGTAGAAACGTAGAAATTTCAAAGTTTCAACGTTCCAGTGTTTCAACTTTTAAACGTTTCAACATTGAGGAACCCAACTTGGACATTACTTCTCAGCTATCTGACAGCCCGCTGACCGAGTAGGGGTGCCAGGAGCGGGTGCGGCTGCTCCCGCTCCCGCCACCCGCCCTCAGCAGTTTGACAGCCCGGGCTGACCGTGCAGGGGTGCCAGGAGCGGGTGACGTGGGAGGTGACCCGCTTTGTTTCAAGTCGACCGAATGCCCTCCAGCACCTCCTTGGCCGCGTGCTCACTTCATGACTGTATTCTCGCTCCTGGGCGGTTCCCGGGCTGCAATCTCGCTCCTGCTGTTTCTCTTGGCTTTTATGCGGTGTTTTTGTGAGTGTTTGTGGGTGTCTGCGGGTGCGAATCCGGGCACGGGTCTGGGCACGGATCTGGCCCGCATTTTGATTCAGATCCACGCCAATGTTTTTCAATTTGTGGTGGAACGTTGAAAGGTAGAAATTTCGAACGTTTCTCCCCGAAGCGAACGGGTAGGAATGTCAGGAGCACCCCTGGGCCTTGCGCGCCACAGCCGCCGGCCCTGGCCCTGCGCTTCGGCCCCGGCCCTGCGCCCCAGCCCCGGCCCGGGGCCCTCTTCCTTTTTGCTTGTTCCCCCCAGGCCAATGGGTAGGGGTGTCAGGAACACCCCAGGCGCTCGCCCCGCGCGCCTTTGATGACGAACAGCTCTCTTTAGCGAAGCCAAAGGGGGGAGTTTGAGGGGGGACCAGAGCGCACGCCAAATTCCGGAGTGGATTTACAGGCCAGGCTGGCGCCCAAAAATGGACACCTCCCATGCGAAACGCTCACAATGTAATTGAGCAAGATACGCCTCCGTATTTGTTCCTTGTGACCCGTTGGAACCACCAATTACTTCCCCACAACGGCCGACCAACTATTTGCTTGTGGTCGCAAGGACCCTTTTGCGGTAAGTACCCCGGTAATTCGCATCACCAACCGCACACCAGACACACTACCAACACGCCAGACACAACCGACATCGCACAACAGATTACAGCATGATGCAGCATACGAAAGCACATTGCAGCATACTACGGCATACTTACAGCATGATACGGCATACAACACCATATCACCAACCCCCGGCATTTTTGCAACCCCCGGCGCTTTTGCAAAGTCTATCCCGCACGATGTCGCAGAAGTCTTCGCTTGCCAGCTGGGCAGGTTTACAGGCTCTGGCGTATTCACCCAAACCCAGGCACCGTTGCAACCCCCAGCACTTTTATAATCCTCCGCTGTTCCCCCCAAACCCCGGCACTTTTGCAACCCCGAGGGAAGTCGCAGGTGGTAGTAGATACCGTATGTTTCGCCAACACAGTCGCACCTTTCCACACACAGCCGCACAATGTGACGACTTGAGCACTTACGCGCAACCCGACACTTTTGCAAACCACGGCACTGTTGCAAACTTCATCCGGCACGATGTCGCAAAACAGATTACAGCACGACGCAGCATAATATAACATACTGCATCATATTCCAGCATACTACATCATCATGTCATCATGATGCGGCAGTTTTTCAAACACCGACTCTTTGGCAAACCCCGGCACTTTTGCAAAGCTCATCCCGCGCGATGTCACAGAGAACCAGACAGCACAACACGTCACAGGACACACACACACAATGAAACAAACAAAGACCGACGACGGCACAAGACAACACAACACTTCACATGACATCATGTCACAGAGCTGTTCGTTTGCCCCCCGGGCAGGTTTACAGCCACTGGCTCCGGCCCCACGCCCCGGCCTTCTAGGGCGGGCGGGCGACTTAATAAGTCCTTCGTGGGACCTACAAATCTCTATTAAGTTAATTATAAGTCAAAACGGCCCGCCAGGAAACGCACCATTCCGCCGGGAAACGCACCATTCCGCCGGTAAACGCACCATTCCGCCGGGAAACGCACCATTCCGCCGGGAAACACACCAATCAGATTTTTGAAATGTTTATGATCGTGTAAAGGTGCTGGTTTGTCTAGACATTGTCGTGGGTTCTGTGAACACATCAGGTTTGTGCTACTATGCAAAATCACTTCAACAGTGTTATGAGCGCCAGCAAATCGACAAAGCAAAAACTACGGCGCACATGACTGGACACCATTTTCAAATTCTAAATTTGTGAACCTTATCGAAATTGAGTTTTGCGTTGCCATGTGAAATTTGTTGTTCAGGCATTCCCCGCGGTCTAGATTTGTAGATGTCTTCGAGAAGCTTGACACGCAACGCTCAGCATTTGCGCCCGCGCCAGCGCGACGACAACTGAAAAACATGGCGCACGTGGGGCGACAGGCCGAGTAATATGACCAGACACAGTACATGGTGACCGAATACACACACAGAACACACACACACACACAGAACACGCACACACACACACAGAACACTCACAGGAACAAGCACGCACACACACACACACACACACACACACACACACACGCGGAGCACCGACAGAAAGAGAACGCGCGCACACACAGGACAGACGCAAACCCACACATAACTTAGAACAGAGAACAGAAAACAGTGAACAGAGAACACAGAACACACACACAGAACACACAGAGCACCCAGAAACAGACAGAAACACACATAAACACACACATGCACACACACGTACACGCGTACACGGGTATACACACACAAACACAAACACAAACACAAACACAAACACAAACACACACAAACACACACACACACACACGCACACGCACAAGCACACACACACACACACGTGCACACACATACACACATACACACATAGATGCACAGATACATCGATAGATAGATAGATAGATATATAGGTAGGTAGATAGATAGATAGATAGGTACGTAGATACATACATAGATACATACATAGATATATGCATACATGCAAACATATACATACATACATATACCTACATACATATACATACATATACACACATATACATACTTACACAACATATACATACATATACATACACATACATACACATACATACACATACATATACACACATACATACAGACATACATACATACATCACATTACAGTACATCACATTACATTACATTGCATTCGTACACATTCATACACATTCATACACATTCATACACATTCATACATACATACATACATAAACACATGTACACATATAAACACGTACACGCACACACACACACACACACACACACACACACACACACACACACGCACGCAGATACACACATACACACATACACACAGAGCGCACAGAGAGAACACACTCAAACACAGAACACACACACAGGCATAAACAGAGAACGCATACACAGAGAACACACATACACACAAAAGACACACACTGAATACACACACACACACACGCAGACAGCGCGCACACACAAAACACACACACACACAGAGAACACACACACACACAGATCACATACACACACAGAGAACACACAGACACACACAAAAACACACACACATAACACACACAGAGAACATACACAGATACAACATCACGCCAACACATGAGGTGAAACACACGGACGTCACCGTGCAACGCCCCATCCAGCCAGGAAACGCACCGTCCCAGAGGATCTCGACGCCTGGAGCCTCCAATTTTGATCGCCGGAGCTTTCAATATGCATCCTAAACCACTACCATCCACTCAAGTCCGTGGCCATAAATCAAACTCCGCTTCAAAATCGTTCAAATCCACCCAAACTCATGCGAATCCTTCCAAACGCATGCAACTAATATGATTCCCTCGTATTGGGAGGCTGGTAGTAGGGGCAGAGCCCATGAATCTGCGACGGTCCGCAAAGGCAAACGTAAGCCAGCGTGTCGGGAGACCCTTGCAATGCCTCCCACATTTTAAGCTACATGCCCACCTACCCAACTTGGAGTTCAATCACCGCAAAGTGACTTCTCATGGGGCTACGCCGGGCGCTTGAGAAAACACAATGTGCGAAAAAACACAAAAGGTAAAACTGCTATTTCGATAGGCAGTTACGAGTTTGCCTGCGTCCGAGAAGGGAGGCATCCCCCCCCATCACTAATTGATTTTGGGATACCCAAGTCTACACCCACTGTCGCCAACAGTGGAATCAAAAACGATTGTGGGAAAAGGTCTACGCAAAAAGGGCGCAGCCTGCACCTTTCGGGGCCAAAGGCACTCCAAATGATGTCCAAATTTGTCCAAAAATCCTCCCAGCTGCGTCCCCGGCACCCCTTTTTGAGGACACTTGCACCAAAAGTGGCAGCCCTGACAAAAACACAACTATCACAACGCAAAAATCAAGTTTTAACAAATCCTGGCACCGCTTTGCCGCCCGGTGTCCGCCCAAAGCTTTCAAAAAAGGGAGCTAAACATGAGTCCAAATATGTTTCGAAGCGTGGGACAAAAGGGTCGGCTTAAGCACTGCAAAGGGCACCCAAATCCAACCCAACTAATTCCAGAAATGAACCCTGGCGCTCAACCCCAAAGGGTGCCGCCAGGGGCGCTGAGATTCTCCATGCCACGAAAATGTACAAGCAATCCTGCCCTGTAGCCCAGCCAGCCAAGGCAAGGGTGTCCTGAAAACCCAGCCTGGCGCAGCAAGGTAAAGGTGCCCTGAGCTCGGCCCGAAAGCCAAGCCATCCCAAGCAAAGTAGAATTGCCCTAAACCTGCTTCGTCCTTGTTCTGTCCCGATCTTTGCTCACGTTGGGACTCCGATATGTTCCCTCCTTCGCAAAGATGCTCGACCTTTTTTCGAAACCCACTCCTTGTTTTGTCGATCCCAACTTACCGGTCGATATCGTTTCGTCCCAGAACGCGATTCACCCTCTGTGTACGACTGCAATCCTTGCACTTTCGAGCCTTGGATATTCGGCTAAATCATCCAAGGTCGATCCGAACATCAACTTCTTTGCGGATCTAGATTATTTGTTGCTACTTTCGGCTCCCAAATTGATTCTACTTTACGACCCAAATCGATGGAAAATGGAGACGAACAGGTGAGTAACTCTAGCATGTTTGAAGTTATTTTCAGAACTGATCTTCAATAAATCCTAAATGCTCCCCGGGTCTCAGTAATATATGTCCTTGGGAATCCAAAAATGACCGCCCCCCCCCCCCACCCTCTCCGGACACCAAAAACCACCCTTTGGGCTCCAAAGAAAAACTTTGGGTTCTAGAAACGACCCCAGGGAGAACAACTTAACTTGCCAAGATGAAACGGACAAGGTGCGGACGGAAACCAATACCCCCGAGGGCGCAACAATCACTCCGCCCAACGACCCCAGAACTTCATTGTCATACATCCCACACATCCCTCCAACTCTTGAATACGGCCCGGCGGTTTGCGCGAAGCGATTAAATCCGCCGCATCCCAGTTGAGGGATGGCTGAGGCGTGAGAGACTGGGTGGAAAATCCACAGGCTAGGCGTTGCTTACCAGTCCGCATTACGCCAAGTCACCCCCCAACAACAACGTACCCTTTGAGTGCGCTCCCTTCTACCCCTGCCAAACGTGCCCAAAATCATATTTGTGGGCTTTCAAGCCCTAATATTTGAAATCCAAATTCGAAGAACATACTAGGCCTTCAACTTTGATTTTAAATCGATGTTGGTCCAATTTTGCTTCGCGTTTTGCACTTAGGCATCAAATCCATTCCAAAACTGATTCAAAATTGGTGTACTGTTGGTCACACCCAAAAATTAAAAGGATAACACGCCCACAAAGCCAGTGTTATTCGCGTTTTGAAGGTTCAGTTGTGCAAATTGCCACCCAAAATCAAATTTCATACCTAAAACGGATGCGTTGATTTTCGAACCTGTGTAACGTAAGGCTATTCACATGATTTGGGCCCCCCAAACCCTTTTGAAACGAGGCCTGAAACCTTCCCAGATGCTCCCAAGATGCTTCCAAGACGCTCCCAGACCCCTCCAAGATGCGCCTCCTGCCGCATAAAATCGCCCCAGGACTCCCCCAAGACGACCCAACACACCTCCAAAAACGGCCTGGAAGCCTCCAAGTTTCCCCACAACTTGCCGAAAACACCCGAGCCCTCCACACTCAGACCTGTTAGTCCAAGCTTGAATCCAAAGTTCCCATCTCGATATGTCAATCTCTAATATGTTAATTGGCGTTTCTCCATGGACGCGGCGGTCTCCGTAAAGCGATCTCAATACACTTATCACGACCGTAAGAACCCCTTTCAGCTCCATCGGGGGGTGGCCTGGACTGCGAGCTGCTCGACCTTATGCGAGCTACTATTAACAAATTGGCGTGTAACGAACAACGAAAATTAATGTGACAAGCATATGACCAATGGCATGATAAGCCCAAGCGATTAAGAGCTGGAGTTGTTGCAAAGACCTCTAGTCTCTAGCTGGCATGGTTCAAGTTATGCAAGCCTCCACGGGCCATGTGAAAGTTCTCTGCAACACTTGCACACGCGCGCACATACATGCGCAGATACACAAATGCACACGCACGCGCAGACGCACTTGCAGGCACACACGCATGCTCAGACATGCTTTTACACTCCGTGATTTTGTGCATATCATGCCGGGCCCTGGCCATGATGACAAGTAAGTGAGAATCCCTTCGAGCGTGGCACACAAAAACCCTCCAGGGAAAGCTTGGGTGAAAGTTAAAGCTCAAGTAAAATAAGAGCATGTAATTCTAAAAATCAAATTTAGAATAGATTGAAATGGCAAATTGCACTGCCTAAGCCTAGCTTGGCGCATCGTAGCATAACAACATCATTGCCTACTCATGCTGATTAACAAGATTGGTGGCTACTTGGTGAGGCTATTTTTTCGTGCTCTGGACCTGCCATCTGCCACAAAGAAATCACGCACAAAGTGGCTACCATAACAAAGGCAGAACTTCACACTCAGGAATGATGCATTAGATGACAAGTGCGTCCTGCGAACGTGCACATCCATACTCCATCGAGCACACAACTAATATTGAGCCGTCTGACTGTCCGTGAAAGACGATGACGTCAGCCGAAGGTGTCATGAAGAGCGCTCGGCCGTGTGATCTGAGAGCTTCCACTTCAGGGAGCCATCTGCAGCACTCACTGCGTAGAGGTATCTGCCATTAGAGTCCACTGTGTAGAGCCCACTGAGGACATGGTTTACAAGAACAAGGAAATAAAAGCAGGGCCCTGCATTTCTCACTCCGGGGAAAGGCCTGATTGAACTTTGGCCAATGCCTCCACTGCAGCCAGCCTGACGCCCCGATCTGCATGTTTGAGGCGGCCGCTCACTGCAGTGATGGCTTGATCGTCGCCCTTGTCTGCAACCTTGGACAGCGCTTCCACCGCAGCCCGCCTGACTCGCGAATCTGCATGCTCGAGACGGCCACTCACTGCAGCAATAGCGTAGTGATCACCCTTCTCTGCAACCAGGGCCAGCGCTTTGATGGCAACCCGCCTGACGTCCCAAACTGCATCCTCGAGGCGGCAGCTGACTGCATCGATGACGTGCTTGTCTCCCTTCTCTGCGGCCTGAGCCAGCGCCTCCACCGCAGCCCGCCTGATGCCCCGATCTGCATTCACAAGGCAGCCGCTCACTGCAGCAATGGCGCGCTGGTCACCCTTTTCTAAAACCTTGGCCAACGCATCCACCGCAACACGCTTAACGTTCGCATCTGTGTCCTCGAGGCGGCCGCTCAATGCAACAACGGCGTGCTCGTCGCCCATCTCAGCGACCTTGGCCAATGCCTCCACCGCAGCCCGCCTGATGCGCCGATCTGCATGCTCGAGGCGGCCGCTCACTGCAGCGATGGCGCGTTTGTCCCCCTTTTCTGCGACCTTGGACAGCGCCTCCACCGCAGCCCGCCTGACGCACGAATCTGCATGCTCGAGGCGACCGCTCACTGCAGCAATAACGTAATGATCGCCCTTCTCTGCAAGCTGGGCCAATGCCTCCACCGCAGCCCGCCTGGCGCCCAAAGCTGTATCCTCGAGACGACCGCAGACTGCAACAATGGCATGCTGATCGCCCTTCTTTGCCATCTTGGCCAATGCCTTCACCGCTGTCTGCCTGACGAAGGAATCTTCATCCTCGAGCCGGCCTCTCACTGCAGCACTGGCAAGCTGATCGCCCTTCTCTACGAGCTGCACCAATGCGTCAATCGCGGCTCGCCTGACCCACCAAGATGCGTCATCGATGTGACCGTGCACTGCAGTGATGGCGTGCTCGTCGCCTTTCTGTGCAACCTTGGAAAGTGCCTCCACCGCATGCTGCCTGACGACCGAATCTGCATCCTCGAGGCGGCCGCTCACTGCTGTGACAGCTGCGTCACCACCTCTCACTCCCAGTTTGCCTAGATCGCTCAAGGCCTCAAGGCGTTCCGTGCAAGTTCCACGCTCTAGTTTCTCCTGCACTTTCGCCAGCGAGATAATCAGCTGGTAACGTTGCGGCACGATGGTCTCGTCGTCCTGTAGTTCCTCGATGGTGCTTACCAACCTTTGGAAAACGATTGGCACGGAAATTTTGTCAGCAATCGCATGTTTCAGCATCAACACGCTCGTCTCTGGCCCAACATCTACTTCCAAAAGCTCGCCATTTAACACACACACTGTTATTTGAAACTCGCACTCCATCTTCGATTGGCGAGGAGGGCGGGCTGCTGAAGAGCGAGCACTCAAGCCAAAAAGGCAGCTGAAAGGATGCGCACGATGGAATATCTTAGACGAATAATGACTGCTGTCATATACCTCCTTGTACACAAGGAGTCCGAAAACATACCCAAACCAACATCGAGCACAAATGTGCAAAAGCGAAGCGCTTGACATCCAAACCCACATGAAGGCTCCCCCGAAACTAAACGTGAACTTGGGGATCAAATGTAGATAAGAGCGCCCTGGCTGCATGTCTGAAGCGAAGGTAGGAAATGAAAAATCCCTATAGTTGAACATGGTGCATGGCTCAGATTACGAGACTGTAGCTGATCGTCCTCGATCCCCAAACCTCCATTGATCAACTACATGGAGCATGTTTTCGGAGCAGCTCATTGTTGAAAACCAAGTGGCGCAACTTCTTGGTCATTTTTGCACACATGCGTATATGCACATGCAACATGATTAGTACCCCCATGCATGACATCGCCCCCTAAGTAATTGAGCGTGCACTTGTATCCGTATTTGAGTTCATAGTTGAATCCGCACGTGAAGCCGTACTTGAACCTGGGTAGCAATGGAACGGAAAGCGCATGCAAAAACCAGCAGCAGCGGCAGAGGCAAGCACCAGCAAAAGCAAGCACAAGTAACCAAGCAGCAGCAAGCAGCAAGCAGCAGCAAGCAGCAGCAAGCAGCAGCAAGCAGCAGCAAGCAGCAGCAAGCAACAAGCAGCAGCAACAGCAAGCAAAAGCAAACAAAAGCAGGTGAAAACAAGCAAGAGCGAAACCGACATGCGGGGAACTGACGTGCGCTCCTAAGCTCAATGTGAAACAACAGCTGCAAGCAACAGCAAACATCAACAAGCAACAGCAAGCAGCAGCACCAGCAACAACAAGCAGCAATAAACAATATGTTCAATATGCTGTAAACAAAATTCGTTAGTTTTCCTCCAGACCTTGAAACATTTTAAATACCGCCCAGAACCTTCCCCAGACCCCTCTCAAGCCCCAAAGATCAAACCAAAATCGAACCCAAAAGGCTCCAAGAGGCATCCTGGAGAGCATTGCTAATACAATTGCCCCAAAAAAAAACCCGGAACCCGTCCAAGAAACGCCAAACAGCCCCCAGACCCCACCCCTCCCAAAAAGGGAACAAAGGCGGTCACAAATCGATCAAAAATCGACGTTGAAAAGCAAACAGTTTCCAAACACTTGTTTCGTTGTTAACGCGCCCAAACCATTTCGGGCCTCATCGGTACTAGCTTTTTGGAACCAACACGATATATCATCAGGACTGACTTTCGACTTGTGTTTCGAACCTGAAGCACGTGTTTTTATCAAACAGAGTCTCCGAGGCATCATGAACAGAAAATGCAAACATCTGAACATGTGTATTTGCCTTTATGCAAACAACGCTTTTTAAGTGTTCGGACATAATCGAGCACCACCAGAAACTATTCTGGCAGCATCGACAACCTTACTGACACACAATATAAAATAGCTGCTGCTTCAATACCAGGATGTGCAAAAAAAAAAAAACATAATCCAAAGATTACCAGGACCAGGAACATTTATATATTTTGCGACTTCGATGCTTGCTTATTGTTTGGTCGATGTGGGGTCGATCTGGGGGCCGGAAGTCGACCGAAATCCAATTCAAAACGAATTAAAGCAAAGCATGAAACATGATTATGATAAGTAACATTAAAAACTGCGCAAAAGCACCCCAAGAGCGCCCAAGAGACCCTTGTAGTGGGAAACACGAGATTCCCATTTGGAATGCCGTTGTGTTGGCTCAAGTTGAAGACAAGCTCCAGCTTGTCAGATCGCGGCTCTAACGCAAGTAAAACCATGATCATCCATATCCGTTGCGCTACAGTGGTACTCGAATCCAGGAATTTCGACGTGATTGGCCATAAAAGATGTTATTGCAGAGGGGATAACATCCGATCAGATCAAACCGATTCGGCTTCCCGCCACAAAGTGGAGGCTGCTCCGTGGACCTGGCTGTGGAACCTCCCCTGCCTGCACGTGCCACATATCCAGCGAGTGGGGGAAGAGGAAGACAATGACGCTTGCCTCTAACAAGTCCATCGCTGTGATGTCCGGGTCCTTCAGCAGCCCCTTGCAACCGCCGCTCCGCAACGACCTCAGGGCGGCCTGCTCCTCCACGCGGCCGCCACTGAGAGAACCCAGAGGCATAGGAAGAAGAAGACCCTAACCGCAGGGCGCTTTTGGCGGCTCAAGCGTAGCCGTATCGCAGTGCAGCGGCGCAAGGACGGGAGCCACCTTCCACCTCCAACCCACCTTCCAACTTTCCCCTACCACCTCTCACCTCCGACCTCCCTCCTCCCACTCCCCACCTCCCAAATCCCACCTCTCAGTTCCGATTTCCCACCTCCCACAACCGCCCACCTCCCACTGTGTATTCGGCGACGTTGTGCGGACAAAATCCTCTATGCCGAAGCCAATCCCTGTATTCCAAGCTGGGAATGTATGCAGCGAGTGAAGGGCTGCTGGCCAGTCAGCCGTGATTATCGGTTAGTAGCGTAGTAACTTGCTTGCTTAGCAGAAGGGGTAGGACGTAGTTAATGTTTAATGGTGAATGCTGCAAAGTAGTTGCGCTCCCGTGACGTCCGCTCGCTGCGGACCTGAAGGGCTCTGGATTGACCATCTTGGGCAGCTGGCCGTGCATAAGCATTAGGCGTAAGTTGAACACTAGGTGTACATTGATATGTGCGCACAGTCGCGCTTGACTCAACTTAACGCCACCCCAGACTACAGGCGGGAAGGACCCAGTCTGCATTGCGATCGCGTGGGAAAACATATGTACTTTGCGGGGAGCGCGGCTTTGGGCGAAAAGTCTTCACCTGGCCAGGGCCAGCCAGGAGCCACATTCATGGAAGCACTATGACTTCGGAGGCCGTGCATAGCTCGTTGCGGCACGGACCCAACAACGAGAATCATACCACAAGACATTCACGATGGCGCTCTGAGCAGAGCCCCTCGGCGTGAATGTTGAAGACTACAAGGACTACACTTCGCTTGAGGATGCACTAAGCCGTGCAGACCTTGAGCTCACCATGCTGGTGGAACGAGTAGCAAGCGTTGGTGTCGCGTTTAAGGAAGTTCTACCCCGAAAGGCCGACACAGATTCGGGCGTGGCCAGAATGGTACTCTGCGAAAATGGCTGCGCACTTCGGGCCCGAGTGGAGGGCCAAGGAGGGCCGACGGGGCATGGCCGGTCCCTCGCGGCGGCGCTGGGTTGCGCGCAGGTAGCTCAGAACTTACGGCGTTTCGGGTTCGGGTCGCTGGAAATCGGAAAATTCCCAGAAGTTGTTGGCCATCGGGGCCATCTTCAGGCCATGGCTGCGTTTGTCCTTGCGGGTAGCACTGATGACGGCAGGGCTCTCGCACCTAGTGCATCGCGTCGAAGTCGCATGGCAGCCCATGAAAATTAGTTGGAAGCCCAGGCGCGGTCGGCATGCACACGGGCATCGTCTCGGCCACACCGCAAGCACACGAGGATGCGACCATCATCGACGCAGGCAGCGCAGAACACCTTGCCCGCGGCAGCCTCTGGGGCGGTTATTTCAGCCTCTCCGTCCCCCTCGTCATGAATCCATGTTATGCAGATTTCAGAAGCGGGCACTGGATCTCGGGCAGGCCCGTTGCATTTGTGACAGAGCCGCGCCGTGACCTCCAGCGCCAGCGCCAACCGTTGCTGCTCGGGCAGCGTGAGCTTCTTTGGATATGTATCCGCTGTCGGGCTCACCTTCTTGAGCGCCTCTACACAACGCCCTAGGAACTCTCTTCGGCTGCGCAGAGGTGAGGTTGGCCTCTCTGGCACTTGCTATCACGATGCTGGCCCTCTCACGGGCCAACTCGGCCCAGCCTTGCTGCATCTCGAAGGTCGCCAGATCCTGTGCAGCAGCGGCGTGCGCGTCCTCGGCCTCTTGCTCGGCAGCCCATGTCTCTTTCATGCACCGTTCGCAGAGCGCGACACAGCAAGTGGACTGACAACGGTAGATCTGAGCTTGTTTGCCGCTAAGTCCACACTTGTTGCAATCCAATGCCTTCCAAGCATCGCTTATCCCTGACATGAAGCGATGGACGCAAACGTTAGCAGCCAACATCTCTGCGCGCCGCTCCCTGACGGCTTCCCGGGGCTATGGTGTCTATGGTGTTTGCTGGTTTGGACCTGGGTGGTCGGGGCTATGGTGGGCTATGGTGTCTATGGTGTCTGCTGGTTTGGACCTGGGTGGTCCAGGCTATGGTGTCTATGGTGTCTGATGGCTTGGACGTGGGTGGTCCAGGCTATGGTGTCTATGGTGTCTGAGGTTCTTACCGCTCGCACCCTCGGTGCTTGGTCGGGCTATGGCGTCTATGGTGCCTGCTCGTTTGGGCCTGGGTGGTCGGGGCTGTAATGTCTCCAGACGCATAGCCATCGGCTACACACGAAAGAATCACTGGGAACCTACGCACTACCCCTTCGAGCCTCTGTTTGAACAGCGCGCGCATCCATGATGGCACTCACACATCACACAGCACACCGTGTAGCTTGAGCTGGTTGCGGGGAGAGGACTGCCCACAAGATTTCTGAGCACACGCACTACGTATACGACTTCTCACACTGGTTGGCATGCCCGCTCACTGCCCGCCGCCCAGCGCGCGTTCCATGAACGGCGCCATGACGGCCAGGAACTGTGCCTTGGAGACCTGCGGGTGTCGCATTTGTGCTTATGATACGTGTGCCAGCAGTCGTAGTAGAAGTAGCGCCGACACTCGGTGACGTGCCACCACACGGCATTCTTGCGGACCGTCTGCAGGCAGATGGCACACGTTTGTTTCTCCTGCGTGGATGTGCGAAGCTGCTCCCCCATGATATGCCAAAGAGCGAGCTGTTCTGGAGCCTGTGGAATGACAACCTACACGCGACAATGGAGCCCATCTGGATGCATGCAACTTACTACATATGCGCGCACCTGCCCCATGCTCGCGTTTGTAGCCTCAGTGGCATCATTAGTGTAACAGACCGTATTACATTGTCGAGGATCTCGGCGCTCCTACACCTCATGCTAGCCGCCATAATCACAAACTGCCGCCGACCCGACATAACCGCTGGAGGACGTCGTCGCTTGGACGGTCGCCATCGCGCCTCATCCATAACAAGAATGACCACAGCTCGCGCCTCATCCATAACAAGAATGACCACAGCTCGCGCTATATCACACCTCGTTGGTAATTCTCAAGCACGCCTTGCCCGCATGGGGTTTAGTCTGCCCGCGAGCGGGCGATCCACGCCGCAAAGCTCTGCCACGGCGATAAACGTGAGGTCGTCGACGGTGTTCTGGCGGCGGACGCAGCATTGGGCTCGCTGGCTCTTCGTCTGTCGCCTCCAGCAGTGCATGTGCGCTTCGTGCGGGACAGGCTGGCACTGTGACTGATATACAGTTGCCCGTCTTGTGATAGCCTGCAAGCAAATGGGGCATGTCCGCAGATCCGTCTCGCCTGCGCCCTGGTCATTCTGCGCAACTTGAGCCAGCATGGCATGAGCGAGGATCGCGACTCGAGAATGCGTACATGCGTTCAGTAGGCCGTGACGTTGTCTTCGCAGAATGTGCGTTGTCTTCGCAGAATGTGTGTTCTGCTGGTTGATTCTGGTGCATCACGCTTTTCTCTGTTGACATAGCGAACACTCTATCACACCAAGCACGCTTACTGACGCCTCGGTCGGCCGCTTCTCCCACACGCGACCGCACACCCTGTAACCTAGCACGTCTACGCGCCTCCCACGCAATCATAGGCTCCTTGCAAGGGAGGCATGGCTCTTCTAGAGTGGCATCCTGCTACTCACTTACTCTTCCGCTGCTGAATAGTAAGTAAGTAGTATTCTCCCGTTAGTCTCCCTGTACGCGGACTTCGCAGTAGCGGTCTTCACAGTAGCGGTCTTCGCATGGGGGGCATGGCTCTTCTAGCAGTAACATCCTACTACTCACTTACTCGTCCGGTGCTGAATAGTAAGTGAGTAGTAGTCTCCCGTTAGTCTCCCTGTACGTGGTCTTCGCAGTAGCGGTCTTTGCATTAGCGGTCTTCGTACTAGCGGTCTTCGCAGGGGGGCATAGCTCTTCTAGCATGATAGATTTTTTTGTGCTCAACATATCCTAAGACTTACACACTGTCAATCGGGTCAGACGTGTTCCCACATCGCTTCAGGAGCCACTACCTATCGGCTTCCTCTTCAAACGTTGGGTCGGGGGATCTGCGCAACGTGCTTGCCCTAAGCGCTGCTCTACATCTCTGCGATTTGGCAAAACCAGGCTCGCAGTAGTGAGCCACTCCAACACAGCTCTGCCTGCAGCTAGCAGCAGCTCCGTAGGTCCCGCAGGCGGGGTCGTCGCTCGATTGTGGCTGAAGATGTTGCAGCGCAACTGCAGCGCGACTTTGCATGGCCCCATGTCGTCCGTCGGCGCGGCCATCGCCGTCCGCATCTTCGTGGAGTACCTGGTGCTAGAACAGCGCTGGCGAGCTGAGGTATGCGTCGCCAGCCGCCTGGGTTACCCTGTGGGGCTGGTCGCGACCTTTCTCCCAGAACGCCAAGGTGCGATGTCCAAACACAGAGAGTCCGACGTGCAAGAGAGAAGCCCCGCCATCCACATGGCGTTTGTCGCGCCGATCTCCAGGACGCATTATTTGGATCATGCCAAACTTGAACAGCCACTCCGAGGGCGGCGTCTCCAGCAAATGCTTGGCATTTTTGTTCTCTAGCACGTCCGGCGGACGGTCCGCAAGGGAGCGCTGAATGCGCGCGGCCAAAGTCTTCAATTGGAGCGCTGTTCACGCGAACGAAAGCGCGCGCGAACGCACCCCACACCTGCGGCGCCAGCACGCTGGCGTCCAATCCGTTGCATTGACAGTTCTCACGTTCCGTTCCAGAGTGGCACATTACCTGGATCTTGTCTTCGTTCGTATACTCTTTGGCTTTATCGCTAGCCTTCCACCAATGGTATTTTGCCTGCATGGCTTCTTGGGTGCGCGGGAGGTCTGGCGCATGCTGCAGCATCGCCAAGTTGTCCGGGTCGAGGCGAGAGCGGAGCATGGCGAACTCTCCGTGTTTGCCGCGGAAGATCTCGCGCCCGTCTTGGCGGTACAGCTCAAGAGTCGGTCGCGGTAGAGCGATGACAGGGTCGACCATGACGATCACGTCACTGTCCGAGCTGTTGCCTGCATCTCTGTCTATGGCGCTCAGCTCGCCCTGTGCGACCACGTCGTCGGCCCCGCTTCCGAAGCTGCGCAACTCCTGTTGCGTAGACATGCCATCGAACTGCCACGCGCCCCGGCGACGTCGAACCTGTGGCGGGGGAGACGCGGTCGCTGACACTTGACGGCGCATGTCTGCGGCGATGCGGGGCCTAGGGACGCAAAGTTGGTTTTCGCTGCAGGGCGCCTTTGCACTTGAGCCACAAAAGGTTCGACCAGATTGCGACGCGAAGCTGAAAACTACGTTCGAGAGCTCTGTTCGTGAATGTGTAAATGTGTAGCTGTTTGCCGCACGACTTCCTGCCTGGGATGGAGTAGGCGCTGCCATGTCGCAGTGTGCGCGCGGCTCGTTCTATTTCTACACCCCTACCGCCCGAGGGCTTCTTGTCAAGCTGGCCTACTGTTTGCGGCTCCACTCAGACACTGCGGCTCGTCGTGGGCCGGAGGAATCGCTGGAGGGTCTCCTTTTGAATGGTCTTCCGCACGCCTTTCTTCAACGCATGGTTTGCAGAGAGCTCGCCGTCAAGCTCGATGATGATCTTTTCGAATTTGGCACTGAGGTCGTCAAACACGGCCTTCATGAGATCTTCGTCGCACGTCGTGTAAACAATTCTGTGGCCGCCCTGATTCCACTGCAGCGGCACATCGAAACCTTCTGCAGCAGCTTGTTCCAATTTTGCCTTCTTCAACTCCCCGGCGACTATGTATGAGATCTTGCGGAAGCTGCTCCTGCCGGCGTCCGTACGCAAGCGGGGCCAATCCGCAATGGTGATAACGCCGGAACTGGAATTCAGGTCTTCGACCTGCTCGCTTGTCAGAACGGTTCCGCACTCAAGGAGTGCCTGTTCTGCTGCAGGTCCTTGTGGCGTGGCGACGCTCAAGACCAGGTGTTGCACTCGGCTTTGGGGCTCGGCGTCGAGACGTTGAGTCAGAGCTGCGATTGTACCCTGCAACCCCTGCATCTGCTCTGCAAGGCTTGCCAAAGCGGGCCCACCGTAACTTCCATGCTCCCTGATCGAAGGCAAAGCTTCGCTCGTGATCCAACGTCTGAAGGCTTTAGCCTCCGGCCTCTTAGAGTTCCACGTGCGACTATACAGCCCTGATTCATTGATGTAAATTTCGTGCGGCTGTTGATTCGCAAGGGCGTCGGTATTCCCGACCCCCTTGGAAAGTTGAGAGTAGGTGGTCTTATCCTCCGGCTCAACGTCCTTGCCCCTGAACCAAGGGATCTGTTTTGCGATGACCGGGCGGCCGACGTTCCAAGAGTTTTTCACGAAGGGCTGGATCTCCATGGCGAGTGAGTGGGATCAAGCGACAACGCGAACAGCTGTGCGCGCAAAGGCGGAGAGCCGACCTTGAGGATTATGACTGCGGGGGGGGGGGGCGGTATGGCTACCGTGCGTTCATTTGACGAACTCAGAAATGATTCAAATACTTTGTTTACCGAGCGCTTCCTATGCTGAGTGGGTGGATGCTCGGGCCCGCGGTTAGTTCTGAGCAAACCCTTTCGACCACCAAAGCGGCCGGACTGGCTAGTGAGTGCTTTTGTTTCCTACGAGGTGCGCGCCGCCGTTGTCTTTCTGCAACTCGCTAGCGATACAATCCTCACAACCACTGCAGCTAACAACATCTCGGGCATGCCAAACCTCGCTCATGGTCCAACAACTCATGTTGTTATTCGCACCATGCGCGCCTCCTATACACCCCATGGGTGAACCCGTCAGCTGGCTTACGGTGATTTCGGTCCGTCAGAGGCTCAACACTGCGCGTTCGAACATTGCTTTAGGATTGGCCTGATTGGAGCGCCATTGCGCGCTGCGGCCACGTCCATCTTGCTGCCCGGACATGGACCTATGAGCAACCGCCCAAGGATCGCTGCAAGAGTCGAGAGCCATGGGGCTAGGCCCAAAGCTACTTGGCGGGGTTGGATGCGGGGAGGTTGCACAAGCTTCCGCGCGGCATGTAACGGACCGCCGCATGTCTTTTTGTCCAGGGAGGCTGATGGCGGTTACCTGTCTGACTGTGCACCCGCACCGCTCTCTACAACTGGGCATACCTGCGCGGGAGCTGGCCTTTCACTCGTCATTCGCAAAGCGTCGCAACGAGGCTGTGAAGCCGTCGCGGCAGATCGGGCAGCGGCTGTCGAAGCTGCGTGCGCGTCGCGTATCCTAGAGGCTCAGGAGATGCCACTCTTGAGCGCCATCTGCGTGGCCGGCGATGGCTAGAGACATGCGGGCCCACCCCAAATGACCACGCTGCCGTCCGCCTTGGTGGCGAAGAAACATGTCGTCGCGGCTTCAATCACGGCCACCTTCTCTAGCTGCTGTTGAACCTTGCTGCAATCGCCGCCGAAGTCTGCATGGCCCCAGCAAATAACGCTGCCATACCTTTGGACAGCGGCAAAAGCTGCCAATGTGGCATGGATCGTCTCGACATCCACCAGCTGCTGCTGGACCGCACTACAATCCCCGCCGTGCACTTTATTGCCCCAGCATACCACGGTGCGGTCCTCCTTGACTGCGGCGAATGCACCACCGGCGGTGGCGTAGATCGTCCTGACATCCACCATGAGCTGTTGCAGCTCGCTGCAATCGCCGCCGGACCAATCCCCGCCCCAGCATTCCACGGTACCGTCTTTCTTGAGCGCGGCGAACCCATCTGTGGTGGCATAAATCTTCTCGACGTCCACCAGCTGCTGTCGCACCTAGCTGCAATCACCACCGGACTCCTCGTCACCCAAGCATTCCATGGTACCATCTTTCTTGAGCGCGGCGAACGCACGATAAGTGCCATAAATATCCTCGACTTCCACCAGCTGCTCTTGCACCTCGCTGCAATCGCCGCCGTCAAGATTGTTGCCCCAGCATGCGACGCGACCATCTTCCGTGCTTGCAGCAAAGGCACCTAAGTTGACGCATATCTTCTCCTCGACGTTTAGCAACCGCTGCCGCGTCATATTGCCGCTTCCATCGCACCAGCTTCTATCAGGGATGTTGCCCCAGCATACCACGGCGCGATCCTTCTTGACTGCGGCGAATGCACCAAGGGGGGCATAAATCTTCTCGACGTTCACCGGCTGCTGCTGGACCGTGCTGCAATCACCGCCCCCACAACTTTTCACCCCAGCACACCACGCTGCCATGCCTCGTGCGGGCGGCAAGAGCGCCAACGGTGGCGGAGGAGATCTCGACCACGTCCTTGAGGTCCTGTTGCACAGCGCTACAATCCCCGCCCGTGTTGCGATCTCCCCAGCAGAGAACAGATCCATCGCTTTTGAGAGCGGCGAAAGCGCCGCCGCCACCCTCGCCAAATTGACCAGTGGCGGTGGAGATGTCGACGACGTCCACGAGCTGCTCTTGCACCTCGCTGCCGCGGCGTTCTCCCCAGCAGAGAACAGAGCCGTCGCTTTTGAGAGCGGCAAAAGCGCCGCCATCTTCGGAGGCAGTGGTGAAGAGCCGCGGGAGCGCAACTCTGGCCGTCACGACAGCCTGGTCGCGTAGACCTGCGGCCGCGATGGTGGAGGCAGCCTTCAGATAGACGTCCGTGCTGGTGAAGAGCTGCAGCGGCTTACCTGCGGCGGCCTCGGCACTGCGATAGAGTACCAGCGCGGTGTCGCCCGGGGACGCTTCCAGCATGCAGAGGAGTCTGCCGCTCAGAGCGTGAGCTGCGACGCGCAAGGTCGGCTGCTCAGCTACGCGCGCCTCCTTTGCAGTGGTCGATCTATCGTTATGGCGCACCCCCGCTGAGGGTAGCCTGCTTCAGCTTCGGTGCCTGGGCCGTGCGGGTGGATGATGACACGGCCAGCTGAGGGGGCTACGCTGGGAGAGGCCTGAGCCAATATTGCGATGCTGCGGCGTGAACTGGCGACTTCGTAGCAGCAGCGAGCGGCGACGCAGGCGCAAGGCTGAAACTTCCGCGATATGATCCTCTGGAGTATTTCTTCTGGAAGGTATCTACGGGATGCCGAAGGCGAAGGATGCAAATGGCTACCGCAGGCGGGTCTGCGGTCGCGTGCGCATTGGGAGGCGAGAGAAGCTTGAGCCGATGCGTTTTCCGCAAGACACCAAGCGCCTTCATGCGTTGCCTGCTGGCGGCGGCTGCGCAGTGCCTTGCTGCAGCATTGCTACCTCTCTCTCTGAGCCACATTGGGCGTGCGCTAAGTGGCATCAGTGATTTCGGTCTGTCAGAGAGTCGGCCCTGCGCGGCCATCTGGGCAACGCTGATGCGGCTATGCGCTGTGGGGTGGTCGCTACGATCCACCCGCAAGATTGAAGCTGGCACGGCGCGATTATATTTCTTATGGCGCTGTAACACGGTCTCAAGAGCGATGCGGGAGCTCACTGCTTTCTGTGCGCTTCAGGACTGCAGCGGCAGCATCTGGCCGAGTGGCCCGGGCGTGGGCATAGCCGCGATCCCACAGCTATGAGCCAGGCACAGCGACCTGAACTTTCCCTCGTGGAGGCTGATCCGTCAGCCTCCAAGCACACATTTCGCAGGCACGGGTCTCGGGCCGGAGCCGCTCTCGCACTTGCCTCTCCACCTCACGGAGCCTTTCGCTGTCAGCCTCCGCTCCCTTCTGGCGCGCGAGGCTGTCGCGCCGTGCCTTCGCTTCCACGTCCAGCTGCTTTCGCAGACGGCAGCATTGACGGCTTCCTCCGCCCATTCTGCACGCACGTCCGTTTCGATGTTCGCCTCCTCGTTGACCGTCAGCGCCCTGTGTCAAGCGCAGGCGTTCCAAGTAAATGTGGCACCCCTCTCGCTGAGGGAGTTGCTGAAAGGGTGCCGTGCGACAAACTGTTCATGCTTGCAGCGTGAGCACGTCTCCCGCTGTTTCGCCAGCGCGGACGTGACTGCGTTGCGGGCCATGTCTCCCCATTTAATGTGGAGTGCGTGCTTGAAACGCCGATTCGCCTTGAAGAACCATGCCACGCGCGACTTCAGGCCGTCTGGCAACTCAATTTCTTCAGAGAGTGCCGGCCAGTCGCACTTGCTTGTGACCCCCTGCCTGTTTGTGATCCCCTGCCTGCTTGTGAACCCTGCTTGCTTGCGACCGACCCCCTGCCTGCGTGTGACCCTGCTCGCTTGTGGCCACCGCTTGATTGTGACCCCCTGCCTGCTTGTAAGCCCCTGCCTGCTTGTGACACCTGCTTGCTTGTGATCCCTGCTCCTTGTGACACCCTGCGTCTCCTCCTTATGACCCTCCTCCTTACGACCCCTCTTATTTTGACACTCCTCCCCTTGTAACCTGTTACAGCTGTTACAGGCTTCTTGTAACAGTTGTAACGCTGCCCAAGCTTGTGACCCTCTGCTTGCTTGTGACCCCCTGCTTGCTTGTGACCCATGCCTGCTTGTGACCCGTGCTTGTTTGTGACCCCTGCTTGCTTGCTTGTGACCCTCTTCTTGCTTGTGACCCCCTGCTTGCTTGTGACACCTGCCTGCTTGTGACCCCTGCTTGCTTGTGACCCCTGCCTGCTTGTGACCCCTGCCTGCTTGCTACCCCTGCTGGCTTGTGACCCCTGCTTGCTTGTGACCCTCTGCTTTCTGGTGACCCCCTGCTTGCTTGTGACCCCTGCTAGCTTGTGACCCCTGCCTGCTTGTGAGCCCTGCCTGCTTGTGACCCCTGCTGGCTTGTGACCCCTGCTTGCTTGTGACCCTCTGCTTGCTAGTGACCCCCTGCTTGCTTGTGACCCCTGCTTGCTTGTGACCCCCTGCTTGCTTGTGACCCCCTGCCTGTGACCCCTGCTTGCTTGTGACCACCCGCCTGCTTGTGACCCTCTGCCTGCTTGTGACCCCTGCCTGCTTGTGACCCCCTGCTTGCTTGTGACCCCCTGCTTTGCTTGTGACCCCTGCTGGCTTGTGACCCCTGCTTGCTTGTGACCCCCTGCCTGCTTGTGGCCACTGCTCCTTGTGACCCCCCTCTCCTCCTTATGACCCTCCTCCTTATGACCCTCCTCCTCCTCCTCCTCCTTACGGCCCCTCTCCTTATGACGCCCCTCCCCCCGTAACCCGTTACAGCTGTTACAGGCTTCCTGTAACAGTTGCAACGCTGGCCCAGCCTGTGACCCTCTGCTTGATTGTGACCCCCTGCTTGCTTGTGACCCCTGCCTGCTTATGACCCCTGCCTGCTTGTGACCCCCTGCTTGCTTGTGACCCCTGCCTGCTTGTGGCCCCTGCCTGCTTGTTACCCCTGCTGGCTTGTGACCCCATGCTTGCTTGTGACCCCTGCTTGCTTATGGCCCCTGCTTGCTTATGACCCCTGCTTGCTTGTGACCTGTGCCTGCTTGTGACCCCCTGCCTGCTTGTGACCCCCATGCCTGCTTGTGACCCCCTGCTTGCTTGCGACCCCTGCTTGCTTGTGACCCCCCCGCCGGATTGTGACACATGCTTGCTTGTGACCCCCTGCCTGCTTGTGACCCCCCGACTGCACCAGCGATCTCATCAAACCACTGGATGCCGCGAACACGGTGACCCGCGCGGAAGTTGATCCTGGATGAAGCCACGGCGGAGCGCGTCAGGAGCGACGGGATGTGCGGCAGTACACGGCTGCGGGTCGATGGCTGCTCGCGAGAAGCATGAGCGTTGCGCCAAGGAGCGATGCGCTGCGCACTGTTCCGGCTGTGAGCACCCATTGTGGCGCGCCCGCACACTCGCTTGCGCAGCGTAGCTGTGTCCTTTTCTGGCTGTATGATGCATCCGCCACGGTCTGCCCTGCCAAGGACCGCTTTCCTACGTGCTGCTCAGCTATACGCCTCTGATACTAGCCGTGCAGCGTCCGACCACCTGGCCCACTGGCTTCCGCAGGCCTGTTACGCCCGCTCGCAGACGTCTGCCAGGCGCCGTCTCAGGCTCTCAACTTCCGCTGCGAGACGGCGCTTCTCGCCTCGCTCGCGCTCGAGCAGGTCTCCGCTGCTGGTATTCATACACTCGAGCACCCTTGACTTGGACCCTTGACTTGGCCTCCTCGAACTCCTGCGTGCGCTTCTCGATGGCCTTGTCATTATTTGAATCGGAGAGCGTTCGGAACCACCGCCTGCTTTGCCAATATCGCGTTGCTTCGGCCTCTGTCAGCACACCCGAGCGCACAGCCAACTGGACGTTTGCGTGCGTGAGCTGGCCCTGAAACTTCTCTGTTACTGGCATGATCTTTGCGGTCGCGTGCGCGTGGGGAGGCGAGGGAGTCTTGAGCCGATGCGTCCCCCACAAAACATCAAGCGCCTGCGTGCTTTACCAGCGAGCGGCAGATGCGCAGTGCCTTGCTGCATTGCTACCTCTCTCTGAGCCACACGGGGCGCGCGCTAAGTGGCATCAGTGATTTGGGTCTGTCAGAGAATCCGCCTTGCGCGGCCATCTGGGCAGTGCTGATGCGGCTGTGCGCTGTGGGGTTCAGCACCATCGCGCGGTGGTCGCTGCGGTTCACCCATACTACGAACAACGGCGCACGAGCGTATACTTTTTATGGCGTTGTAACTCGGTCCCAAGAGCGATGCGGAATCTCACTGCCTTCTGTGCGCTTCAGGATTGCAGCGGCAGCATCCGGCCTAGTGGTGCGGGCGTGGGCTAAGCCGCGCTCCCACAGCTCACAGCCATGCACACCGCGCGGCGCCTCCATGCACATTTCGCAGCTACGGGTCGCGGGCCGGAGCCGCTCTCGGACCTGTTCCTCCACCTCACGGAGCATTTCGCTGTCAGCCTCCGCTTCCTTCTGGCGCGCGAGGTTGTCGCGCCGTGCCTTCGCTTCCACGTCTTGTCGCGCCGTGCCTTCGCTTCCACGTCCAAGCGCAGACGGCAGCATTGACGGCTTCCTCCGCCCATTCTGCACGCACGTCCGTTTCGATTTTCGCCTCCTCATTGACCGTCAGCGCCCTGTGTCGAGCGCAGGCGTTCCAAGTAAATGTGGCTCCCCTCTCGCTGAGAGGGTTGCTGAAAGGGTACCGTGCGAGAAACTGTTCATGCTTGCAGCGTGAGCACGTCCCCCGCTGTTTCGCCAGCGTGGATGTGACTGCGTTGCGCGCCATGTCTCTCCACTTCGCGTGGAGTGCGTGCTTGAAACGCGCATTCGCCTTGAAGCGCCATGCCACGCGCGACTTCAGGCCGTCTGGCAGCTCGACTTCTTCAGAGAGTGCCGGCCAGTCGTGCTGCAAAGCCAAGCGCTGGTAGGCCCGCTTGATGTGCAATGCCTCTTCGGGCGCCAGGCGATCCCGCTCCGCTTGGACTGCGTCTTCGCGTAGCTTGGCATGGTCCACTGGCGGCATTGGCTCCGCAGTGTGGTACGCGCGAGCGGCTGGAGGCATGTGGGCAAGCGTTGTGGTGGGCACGTGGGCAAGCATCATCGCTGCGTTGTGCACGGGGTCTTCTGTTCCGACAACACCCACACCAAATCCTCGACGACATTTTGCTCGGGGCTGGCTGGTTCGGCAGCAGAGGGCTGCTCTGGCAACGATTGGTCTTGCCCGCGACGGCCTGCTTCCACAGCAGCCGTAGGAACCAACGTAGCGGGAAGCTCTGCTACGGGAGCGGGCACCCCAGCTTCACAACCCTGACGACGGGTCGGATGAAGTGGTGTTGCTGGTCTCCTCGATGTCTTGCGCGGCTGGTATGAATTTGCGCTTCTTCATAGCCTTCGCGACAGCCTCCGCGGCGGCCGCTTCGATTCTCTGCTCGGCCGCGTCAGCGGCATTGGTGATGCACCGCACGGCCTTGCTAC